CCTCCTCCTCCTCCTCCCTCCTCCTCCTCCCCCCTCCCCTCTCCTCCTCCTCCTCCTCCTCCTCCTCCTCCTCCTCCTCCTCCTCCCCTCCTCCCTCCTCCTCGCCCCTCTCATCCTCCTCCTCCTCCTCCTCCTCCTCCTCCTCCTCCTCCTCCTCCTCTGGCTTCCTCCTCCCTCATCCTCTCCTTCCTCCCTCGTTTCTTGTCCAGGATGGGTGCCCCCGAGCTGGGCCCCCGCTGTCTGATCTCCGTCGTCGGCGAGCTCGCCGTCGCCGTCGCCGGGCCGCCGTCGTGTGGGTCGCCGTCGACGGAGGACGGCGCTCACCGGCCTGAAGCACATCCCAGTCCCTGTGATGGGCATCGCCTTGGCTCGGCGTCGATGTCGAGGATTCTTGCGCTTTCCTGCCATCGCTGGTAGTGACCACCGCCGCGGGCGGGTCGGGAGATATGGGGGACCCTCGGCGGCGCGCCCGGGGGGCAGCCGAGAGCGTGCGGGGCCTCCCCAGAAGGCTCGGCAGGCATGCCGCCTCGCGAGAGCACTTTTCGCAGCCTCCCCCGAGGACCCAGCGATCCTCTCAGAAGGCGGGCTGCTGAGAAGCCCCGCCGCCTCCTCCTCCTCCTCCTCCTCCTCCTCCTCCTCCTCCTCCTCCTCCTCCTCCTCCTCCTCCTCCTCCTCCTCCTCCTCCTCCTCCCGAGAAGGCCTCCTCCTCGCGTCCCCTCCCCCCCAGGGCGCGCCGCGGAGCTCCGCTCTCGCGAGTCGTGCCTCGGGCCTCCTGGCAGCCCAGGTCGGGACGCTCCGGGCAGCCCCGATCGGCGCTCCGGGTGGAGGCCGAGCAGCCGCGAGGAGGCGGCGCTCGCCGCCGGCCCTCGGCCTCCCGAGGCCCAGGCCCCGGGGCCTGGCATCGCTCGGACGTGTGCATTTGTTCTCGGCGAGGGCCATCGAGGAGCATCCACACAGCACAAACAAGGAGCCATCGAGGAGCATGTTTGGCGGACAAAAGCACAAACACAGGGAAGGGACGTCCGAGCGATGGCCCGCGGGGCCCCGGGGGGGCCGCCAGCAGCCCCCTCGGGGCGGCGGCCCGCCTCTGAGGGGGAGACCCGCGCGCCGCGGCGCGGGGACGTGCCCGCTGCACCCGCCGATGCATTGATGTTCGGAGTTGGATGTTTTTTTGTTTTGTTGTGGTCCTCAAGTAGGGCGGGAACAACATAGTCTTAGTAGTGGATGTGGATATTTCTCTCTGGGGCTTTCCTTCGTTCTTATCCATGTCCACTGCTGGCTGTCTGGCGGGGGGGTCCTTGGAAGAACTCGCGTTTTGGTCTGGCATTCAGCGTCGTTGCACGGCCCTCCAAGGGAATCGCAACCTTCTTTAGCGATAAGCAGATAATTCCTGCTTGGCCACGTCTTTGCTGGCGCTTGGCCCTCACAGTTCCGGTCATTCCACGCACCCAGGCCATGTCGGCCGCCAGCCTTGCCGCTCGAGGAGTTGTCGGGGGAAATCCCCGCCAGCACCGGATATGGCAATACAGTGGAGGCCCATGCCAAGAAACACCCTGCTTGCATCCAGGGTTCCTTGGGTTTCTCCTGTTTCGATGGTTTTGCATGGAGAGCGTGACGCTCCCACACCAAAAGTCTGTGAACGCCCTGCGGTCTCGGGGTTGGGTTTCTTGTGGAAGGTTTCTCGTGGTCGATCCCCTACAGTCGGGGCGCTGAAGAAGGAACCCTTTTCATGGGGGAGGGGCTCCGTGTTCCTTAATTGTTTCGCAGCTTGCCTTAGGTTTTCCTTAGGATTTCGATATGAAATCGAAGCTTAACTTCTGGAACATAGGGGCCTCGTTCCTTACTTGGGGTTCCTTCGGTCAACGCCCCGACTGCACTGTATGGCAAGCTGTCGCTGGTGCACGCCGTGGCGCGAACCGAGGAACAAACAAATCGCCACGAACAGACACTGCGGGTGCTCCCGGCGGCTCCATGGCGGCTCGCGCGACGGGCCCGGGCCTCCGATGGCGGGGCTGCTTCAGAAGCAGGAGGAGCAACAGCATAAGCATACAGTCGGGGCGCTGAAGAAGGAACCCCATTTCGTTGGGGAGGGGCTCGGTGTGCCTTGATTGTTTTACAGTTTGCCCTGGGTTGTCCTTAGGCCTCCCATGGGAAATCGAAGTTCAACGTATGGGAAGAAGGGGCCTCGTGCCTTATTTGGGGTTCCTTGGGTCAGCGCCCCGACTGTACGCTGTTGTTGGCGCTCCGTGCCGATTCCTTGGGCCCGGATTCGAGAAAGCGCTGTCGCTGCTGGCGCTCGAAGAAGGCAACACGCCCAACGCATAAAAACTGTTGCTGGCGCTCCGCGCGGATTCCTTGGACCCGCGCTGCGCCCCCCCCCTTGGCGGCGCCTCCCTGGCGCGCGCCCCTGGCGCGCTCCGCGCGCCAGGGAGGGGGGTCCAGCGCAGATCCAAGAACTGCTGATGTTTGTGTTGTTTTGATGAGATCATTGTTTCTTATTCTTCTTCTTCTTCTTCTTCTTTTTCTTCTTCTTCTGCGTCTTATTATTTGTAGCATTTTTACTTAACAGCGTTTGCTGATAGGTTTCTAGTAGGGTCAAAAGAGAGCATCATGACTCCTCAGGGGGGTTCTGGGCGGGTGCCAGGGAGGAGAACCGGGAATCGTTTTTCGCCAACAGTCACACACTTCGTGCTCTTCGACCTCCCAAAACTCCACTCCCGGGCCACATTCTGGAGAACCGGGAACAGAGCCGGGCTCGCTTTTGGCCAACAGTCACACATTTCGTGCTCTTCGACCTCCCAGAACTCCATTCCCGGGCCACATTCTGGAGAACCGGGAACAGAGCCGGGTTCGTTTTTTGTCAACAGTCACACACTTCGTGCTCTTCGACCTCCCAGAACTCCATTCCCGGGCTACATTTTGAGTGCCCGGAGCCAACTGTAGGCCACTTCGTGCTCTTCGAGTTCCCAGAACTCCATTCCCGGGCCACATTTTGGATGCCCGGAGCCAACTGTAGGCCACTTCGTGCTCTTCGATTTCCCAGAACTCCATTCCCGGGCCACATTTTGGATGCCCGGAGCCAACTGTAGGCCACTTCGTGCTCTTCAAGTTCCCAGAACTCCATTCCTGGGCATGATTTTGAATGCCCGGAGCCAACTGTAGGCCACTTCGTGTTCTTCTAGTTCCCAGAACTCCATTCCTGGGCCACATTTTGAATGCTGAGGCAGGCTGATGCTGCGGCCGAGGCAGGCTGAGGCTGAGGCAGGCTGAGGCTGAGGCCGAGGCTGAAGGCAGACTGAGGCTGAGGCTGAAGCAGACTGAGGCTGAGGCTGAGGCAGGCTGAGGCTGAGGCTGAAGCAGGCTGATGCTGAGGCAGGCTGAGGCTGAGGCTGAGGCTGATGCAGGCTGAGGCTGAGGCAGGCTGAGGCTGAGGCCGAGGCTGAAGGCAGACTGAGGCTGAGGCTGAAGCAGGCTGAGGCTGAGGCTGAGGCAGGCTGAGGCTGAGGCAGGCTGAGGCTGAGGCTGAGGCAGGCTGAGGCTGAGGCTGTGACTGCGACTGCCGTTGCCGCTGCGACTGTCATCGCGAATGCGACTACGACTGCGAGAACAGCAGAATTCTACAACTGGATGTTCATTTGAATCTTAAGGGGAATGCTTTCAGATATGCTTCTACATATCGCTGTTAGGTTGTTTTGCCTGGATAATCGATTATCACTATTATTGTTATTATCATTATTATTATGAGTATTATTATTCGTATTATTATTATTATTATTATTATTATTATTATTATTATTTATATTATTATTATTATTGTTAGGTTTATTTTATTATTATCATTATTAATATTATTAGCATTACTATCATTGTTCTTATTATTATTATTTTTATTATTAATTATTATTATCAATTATTATTATGATGATGACTATTATTAGTATTATAGAGAGGCCCCGAGTAGATTATGTCCAGCGCAGACCCACGGAGCGCCACATGTGTAGGTTCAAGTCGGGCATGTCCCTTTACAGGGAGGATATTCAAAAATAGTGAAAAGATGGTCGGGGGACGCTGTGCTGACCATTTTTGGGCATGTGTGGAATACTTTGTTGGGGTGTTTGTAACTGTTCGTCCAAACTCCCCCTGTAGGGGGAGAGGCCCGACCTAAGTTTAGGTTTATGCTGTCGCTCCGTTCTTTTTCAGAGCAGCCCCGACGCTGGCGGCGCCTCCAGCGCCGCCGGGAGCCCTGCCTCGGCCGCCCTCCTCCGATGCGTCGTCTCGCCCGCGTGCCCCGGCTGCCTCCTCGGCGCGGCCGGGGTGGAGTCGGGCCCGTCCCTCTAGAGGAGGAATGCTCAAACATAACGCAAAAACAAGTCGACGGGGGACGATGGTGTAAATCTTTGTCTGGCCGTGTTTTAAGATGTTTGGGCTGTGTTTCATGTTTCGTCCAGAATCCCCCTGTATGGGGACACGCTCGACCTAAGGCTGGGGTCATGACGCCTCCCAGGTTTGTCTCATGGCCCCCCATCGTCCGCTTGCAGCCTTCGCGCCAGAGCCTCGGCCCATCGCGCGCTGACCCCCCTTCCCTGGTTTCCTGGCCCTCCGTGGCCTCTTCTTTTTCGCGCCTTGGCTGCGTCCTGGGCGTCTCGCCGCCCGCCGCCGCCCAGATCCATCCCGGGGTGCGCCCCGACCAAGATCCCACCCACGAGAGGAGCCCACCTGTGGCCGCGGGGTCCGCCATAAGAGGCCCCACTGAGGACCCCCAAAGCTTCCAGCACATCGATCCTGGATCTTTGTCGGTGTCGTCTTCGCCGTCGTCGTCGCTGCTGTCGATGCCGTCGCTCGACGAAGAAAAAACGCTCGAGAGGGGTCCTGCGCAGATCCCAGAGATCCGCGCGGAGCGCCAAGAGTTTATATGTCTGTGGCGTTTTTTCTTCTCCTGCTTGCTGCCGTCGTCGCCGAATCATCTCCTGAGCCCGGTGATACGCGGCCCGCACTGCCAGGTGCGGCCCTCGCCCTCGCGCTGGCGGCGGGCTGGCCGCCGCCCGCCGGCGCCTTCATTGAGGAGCTCTTCGGCCAGGCGCGGCTCGGGGGGGGAGAGGCTCAGGTTCGAGGCTCCTCCTCCTCCTCGTCCTCCTTCTGTTCCTCCTCCTCAGTCTCCTCCTCCTCCTTCTCCTCCTCCTCCTCATGCTCCTCCTCCTCCTGTTCCTCCTCCTGTTCCTGCTCCTCCTGTTCCTGCTCCTCATCATGTTCCTCCGCCTCCTCCGCCTCCCTCCTCTCCATTCCTCCAGGTCCTCCCTTCTTCTTTCTTCTTCCCCTGCTCTGTGGGGCATCCCAGATGGGGTCGGAGTAGATGGGGTCGAAGGGTCGCTCCGCATCGTTGATGTAGCGACGATAAGGCTCGATGTGTTGCCCGATGTTCTCCACGCTGGCGTCGGCGAAGCTCCGCCGACGTCCCCGATGCATCGCCGATGTATCGGATATGCATCGCCGATGCGGCGTGATCTTCTGACCCCATCTAGGAGGCCTCTAATTCCTACACTTCCTCCCTTCTCCTCCCTTCTTCCCCTGCTCCTCGGATTGACAATTGGGGAGGGTCCCCTCGGGCTCGGGGTTCGGGGTCTTCGGGCGTTTTCGTCCTCCACCTCCTCTCCCCTCCCTGCTCCCCCTGCTCCTCGGACTGGCAATCTCTGGGGGGGTCCCCTCGGGCTCGAGGCTCGGGGTCTTCGGGCCTGTTCGCTGGCGCTCGGGCGGTGCTCCTGCCGCGGGGACGCTCTCCGGCAGCCGCGCGTCGCCGCGCGGCGGCATTGGGGGGCTGCCCGGAGAGCCTCCCGCCCCGCCGCCGGAGGGCCGAGAGGTATATGACCCGAAGGTCCGGCAGCAGCGTCGGGGGGGGCAGGCTCGGGGGGGGCGGGGCACAAGGGGGGGGATAGGGGAAGGGGGGGGGGGTACGAAATCTGCCACCTGTAGCTGGTTTCGGCCCCGCCGAGGGGCCCATGCCTCGATCATATATGTCGGGGCTGGACAGAACCCCCAACAGTGACACGTCGATTAGTGAACCGTCCGTGTTCGGTTCTCGAGAGGGGCGCCGTGGCCGCTATTTTCCAGGCCTGCGCCCGCCAGGTTTGGGCCTCAGGTCGTTTTCACTACACCACGTTTTACTAAAGGGGGGTCTGTCCATCCCCGAAAGGGGGGGATAGGGGAAGGGGGGGGGGGTACGAAATCTGCCACTTGTAGCTGGTTTCGGCCCCACCGAGGGGCCCATGCCTCGATGCATGGGCTTCCGGCGCCGGGAGGCGCCGGGAAAATCAGCTACGTGAGCGGATTCTCAAACCCCTCCTTTGCTATCCCCCCTTTTCGCCGGGTCCGATCAGGGGGGTATAATCGATCACTGACCACGCAATAACCCTTGAGTAGGGCCGAGGGTCAGAGAGCGCCTTCCCCTGCAGGACCACCAAGCAAGGGGCGTCAGGGTGGTCAAACGCCACGCTGGTTGAGCCGAGGAAGATTTGCAAAATCCAACTGTTCGTTCATGTCCAAAGTTTTGGCTTGACGCCGGGTGCGGTGCATCAATTTTAGCTTGACCGAACAGGTTGGCTGCGCCTATTGACGTCCGTTTGGGGTGTTCTGCAGACCTGACCCCCCAGCCCTACTCAAAATAAACCACCACATCTGTGAAGCTGTATGGTGCGATGCTTCTCATGTTCACGATGCGTTGTCTCGTGAGGTCACGGCCTTGCCACTTGCAGCCCGTTTTTTCCTCTGAGGTTTTCTTCGACGCGCTTCGCGAGTCCGATTGGCGATGATGTGCTCTTCTGCCACGACGAATACGCGCGCGCTGTTCAGGGGAGTATGCATCAGTAGCAATGTGGTCGCTGCGGCACGGTTGGGTGGATTCATCCGCAGATGTTTTTGTACCCTTGCACCCTTCTTCTCGTCCTCTTTTCTATTCCTCCTCCTCCTCCTCCTCCTCCTCCTCCTCTCCATTCCTCCACTTCCTCGGCCACTCCTGGCATCTGCCGTCCTCCGCTGCCACTCTCGCCTCGTGATGCCGGTCCACCTCCACCTCCTCCTCCTCCCCCTTGTGTCCTCCTGCCCCGCCCTCCAGATGGGCGGCGGCGGCCAGCAGTTCCACTTCGAGATGGGCGGCGGGGGCCAGCGCCGCAAGAGGAAGCAGCCGAAGTGGCCGAAGGGCACCCCGACCAAGATCAGCAAGAAGATGGCCTGGCTGAAGGGCACGGAGTTGGGGGAACAGGCCATGGCATGAGCACGAAAGCTCGGAGGTCCGCGCGGATTCCGTGGATCCGCAGCTCGGCGCCTCCAGCGCCGCCCCCGGCTGGCACGCCAGGGGGGGCGGGGTCCGGCGCCGGTCCGAGGCGTCCGCGCAGACCTCCTAGATGTTATGTCCATGTCATTGTTTGGGCCCCCAGGAGTGGAACTGGAACAACTGGAGAGACGTGCAGTTCCAGAAGGACGTGGCCGCCCACACTCTGTCTGGTCCGGGGCGAGGGCGAGCGCACTGCGCGCTCGGAAAGCGCCCACACACACAGAGACGTCACGGGGAAGACGAGGGTGGAAGCGGAGGAGGCGAGCGGAAGGAGGGCCCTCATCGCTCGCGCACGCGCACACGCCATCACTGCGCAGCGTCGCGGCGCAGAGACCAGCACGCGAGTGGAGTGATCGAGGCGGACGCGGCAGCCGCCCTATTCACTGAGGGCAAAACGAGCACCCGACACGCGCACACATACGTACACGTGAACACACACACACACACAAAGAAACAAACGCAACCACACACAAACACACACACACACACAAACACACGCACATATAAACAAGCACACACACACGCACACCCACACACATGCATACACAAACCCACACACACACACACACGCACGCACGCACGCACGCACACGCACACGCACACGCACACACACGCACACACACAAGCATACACACACGTTTTTGGCGTTGCGGCCACGCGCGCAGCGGCGCGGCATAGATCAAGCCAGGAGGGAGCGCGCGGGTTGGCCTAGCTCACGCACCAACAACACCCACACACACACACACACATTTTGTCCTACGGCGCGCGGGTGGGATGCAGTCGACGGTTCACGTGGTGCGAAGGCGGGGTACGTTATGTGTGCTATTGAAGCATTTCGTGTATGAGCGAAGCCAAACATGAAAAGCACAGTTAAGTCGAATTTCAGCGACTGCTGATCAGCTAACACACACGACACGAACATGATACTTGACAGAGTGCGCAGCTCGCATGCGTGGCATCGGTTCCCCCAATCAGCTTAGTGTCGGCTACATGTGATAATCATGGGGGACGTGTGTACCCATCTTGGCATGTGCTGTTTCACGATCGTTTCTGTTGGATCAACGTAATGTTGGGTGATGTATTGCTGTTGGCCGCACGTATGAGTGCCCCTTTACGCAATGCAAGTTGGCCAATGCAGACGCGAAGGAAACTGTCATGTTTTAAGGCGCATTTTGTTGGAAGCGAAGTCTCAGTGTACTGTGTGCACGCGTTCATGTGTGTATTCGATTGTGTCTGGATGCGGCAATCATGCGCACGGGTGTTTTGTCAATTTCTGTACGTAACCAGGCACTTACATGTTAACCCTTGGGCCTCTTACAGGATCCATCCAGGCTTGTTTGTTCGAGCTGCGTCCAACCGTGGCGTCGAGAAACCCGTGTTATTCCAGGAAGAAACACCTACGACTCCAAACCGATGTCGCCGTCAACGTCGCCGTCGTCGGCCCGGTCTGGGCTTGCTGCGTATACGTCCGGGTGCCGTCGCAAGCGCTGCTTTGGCCCGCGCTTGCCCCCCCCCCCCCTTTAGGACGGCAACTTCGAGGCGCCCACGGAGGACTGCCAGAGCGGCCAGTGCAAGTGGTCTGCGCAGGACCGCTGCGGGGCTCCGCGGCTGCTCATGGGGACTGGCCGGGGACTATCGGCGCGAGTGCGATAGGGTCAGGGCGCTGGATTAGAACGGTGCGGTTCGTGTTCGGAAAGGGTTCGCTGTTCCGCATCGTAGATCCTTACATGGTTTAAGGCTTGTTCCAACCATCCTGCGGTGTTGGGTCTTCGTTTTGAAGAGACAGCGCCCCGCATCTCCTCTCCTCTCCTCTCCTCTCCTTCCTCCTCTTCTTATCCCTGCCTTTGCTCTCCGCATGTCCACCATTCTGGCACACCCCTCACGAGGATCGTGGGCCCATAGAAGGCTCCACCGAAGGCCCCTGTGGCGCCGCCCGCGTGCGTCGGAGGCATTCATTTCTGCAGACCCCTCATGTGTTTCGTTGCCCCATCGGGAACTCCACCGAATGCCTCAGTGCCGCCGCCCGCATGCGTCCCAGCCGCTCATTTCGGGACCTCCCTCACACGTTTCGTGGCCCCATTGGGATTTCCGTTGAAGGTCTCAGTGTCGCCGTCCGCATGCGTCCCAGCCGCTCAATTCGGTACACCCCTCACATGCCCCAGTGGCGTCGCCCGCATGCGTCCCGGCCGCTCATTTCTGCACACCCCTCCCATGTTTCGTGGCCCCACTGGGAGCCCCACCGAAGGCCCAGGGATTCATGTCATTATACCCCTCACACGTTTCGCAGCCCCCAAGGGAGGTCCACCGAAGGCCCGAGTGGCGCCACCCGCACGCGTCCCAGCTGCTGATTCCGGCACGCCCCTCACACGTTCCGTGGCCCCATAGGGACTGCCACTGAAGGTGTCAGTGGCGCCGCCCGCATGCGTCTCAGCCGCTCATTTCGGGACACCCCTCACACGTTTCGTGGCTTCCTAGGGATTTCCACCGAAGACCCCAGTCGGGGTGGCCACATGCGTGCCCGCCACGTATTTCGGGACCTCCCTCACACGCTTCGTGGCCCCATAGGGAGCTCCACCGAAGTTCCCAGCGGGGTTGGCCACATGCGTCCCTCACCAGTTCCGTGGCTCCATCTGGGGACGCGGTGCGGTCACTGACGGACCCAGTGGGCATGCTCGCCCGCGACCTGGGAGACCTCACGCAGCCCCTACGAGAGGTCCAGGGGCCGTTACGAGAGGTCCAGTGGCCAGAGGGTCTTGCCCCCGCGCAGATTTCCGACGTCGCGAAAAAATGCGACGGACCTAGGCGCAGGACGAGCGGCGAGAAGCATCCTCAATTCGAATCCGAAGCTCGGGTTTCCTGGGGGGCCTTCTCGTCACCACGGTCGGGTTCTGACGCGAGTGCACAGCGAGGGAAACATCTGGGAGCCCACCATCCCGCTCCGCTCCTCCACCTCCCCTCCCCCCTCCACACCTCTGCCCGCACTGCCCCGCGCCTCGCTCTTCCTGCGGCGCGCTGCCTTTGAGAGCTGCTCGGAGTTTGCGCGCTCCTCTCCTCCGTCTCACCTCCCTCGCGGCACAGTCGGGGCGCTGAAGAAGGAACCCTTTTCGTTGGGGAGGGGCTCCGTGTTCTTTAATTGTTTCGCAGCTTACCCCACGTTGTCCTTAGGTTGTCGATGGGGAATCGAAGTTTCACTTATGGAAGAAAGGGGCCTCGTTCCTTATTTTGGGCTCCTTAGGTCAAGGCCCCGACTGTACTCGCAGCTGCCTGCGGCGGGGCCTTCCGTCCGGCTCCCGTGCCGCCCCCTGGCGCTCGCGGGCGCGACCCGCGGAGAGGGGGGCCGGGGGGCCGGGCCGGTCACTCTGCGCCACGCGCCGGCGCCGCTTGGGAGTGCTTGGGGATGCTCATAAAACGACGCGAAGATCGAGACAAAATCGGATCGGGATAACTCGAAATCTCTGAGAATCGGCGGGTTTGGAGGATGCATTGGGCGCCGCGGCCGCTCCAGAGCGTTCCGGAACGCTCTGAGAGCGCTCTGGAACGCTCTGGAGCGATTTATCCCGATCCTAGCCCTGTTTTAGCTCAGCGAGCGAAGAACGGTATAAAATAAACGTTTCGCCGTCGGGGGCGCCTGCCCCTGGGCGGCTGGGAAGTTTATACCCCTACGGCGCCACCGTAAGGGTATAAACTCTCCAGCCGCCCAGGGGCAGGCGCCCCCGACAGCGAAAAAGTTTATTTTACACCGTTCTTCGCCCGTTAAGATGCCTCTTTCCCAGACGGCGCCGGCGCGAATCGCGACGCGACGGCGGGGGGAGGGGAGAGCGGGGGGGGGGGGGCGGGGCTGGTCACGGGCGTTTTCGTGGACGATAGAAGCATTGTGTTTCTCGGCTGCGAGCCCGGGCGGGGAGTGAGAAGGGGCGGGCCATCGCAGAAGGCTCGGAGTCCCCAGGCGTCCTGGCACGTGTTCTAAGCCTTCCGAGAAGACACCGAACACGATCCAGAAGGCGCGCGGGCTTCTGAGGAGCCGCGCCGCCCTGCCGCCTTCTGAGATGGCCTGCCACCCGCCACTGTCCTTATGTCGGGCATGTCCTTCTCCAGGAGGAAGACTCAAACATATTTTGAAAAAGTACTCTGGGGACGACTCTTGTGCTTATTGTTTAGGTTGTTTTTCGGATACTGCTTTGAATCTGCTTTTATGTTTCGCCCCAAATCCCCATCGAACACGTCCCACCTGACACTTCCCCCCCTCGCCCCCCAACACGAAGAGCCTGCTGCAGGCGCCGCGCGCGGCTGCGGCGGCTGCCCCCGCGAGGGGCCCCAGCCGCGCTCCCCGCAGCGAGGCCCTGGGCGCCATCCGCACCCCCACCCCTCTGCAGTCGACCTAGACGTAAGAGTGACCTCTCGCCGGAGTGACCTTTGGTGCGGGCCCAGTGGGGCCCCCCCGATCGCAGAACGCGGTGCGACGGCAGCGGCTAGCGCGCCTGGATCTGGCCTCCCCGCGGCTCCCCAAAAGCCGCGCACCAAAGGCCACCCTTGCCCAAGGGTCACTCCTGCGTGCCGCCGATGCGGGCAGCCGGGCAGCCCCCACCTCGCACCGCCCCCCCCTCGCCCGCCGCCGACTCTCGCGGCCCGCTCTCGGGCCCCCCGCCGAGCGCGCGCGGCCCCCGGCCCTGCCGGCGCAGGACGGCAAGGTGTACATCCTCTGGGGCGAGGCCGGCCTGCACGAGATGGACCTCGTCGGGAAGGCTCCGGAGGACACGATGGGGCAGACCGCAGTAGTCTTCGGATGCAGCTCCTGGGAGGTCAAATTCTGATTTAGCCCTGGTCCGAACTCCCGCTCAATCGGGCTTAGTTCGGCATAATCCCGCTGAATGCCGCTTAATCCGGCTTCATCCCGCTTGATCCGAGGCCCTTTCTGGCGTAGCAGCCCGCCAATGGGGCATATTCCTCCTTAATCCTTCCGACGAAAACCTCCCAGTAGTTGCCTCCTCAGTTATCTTACCGTCGTTCCGGGCACAACAAAGAGCCACAACCACTGCTAAATGGATTTCCCCGGAAAGGGCAGAGTTGTTCACGCGCAGAAGGGGGGTAAGGGGAGGGGGGGCCTTCTTAGAAGCGCCCCTGCTTCTTAGGAAGGAGGTGCGGGCCTTATCTGTACATGTGAGGCCGGCGCTTTCTAAGAAGCAACCTCCTTCTAAGAAGCCTTCCCCCTCCCTCCACCCCCTTGTGCGCGCCGCCAAGTTTCTTTTTTGCCGGAGGGCGCTGGCCCAGGGTTTTTTTGTAGGTCTGCCTCCGGAATCGGCTTGAAGATGGCCGAGGGAATTATTGCGAAGGCCTTACGGCCGGCGCCGCCGACCCTGAAGGGGACGACGACGACGGCGACGACGACGACGACGTGGGTCAGAGTCCTCAGGGATTCTGTTTGGGGTCTCTTCGGAGCGCTCTCCGAGGCCTCTGGGGGGCAGTTTTGGGGGCCCCTTGGGAGCATCTTGGAGGCCTCTTGGGAGCCTCTAGGGAGCCTCTTGAGGCTTCCTGGGGGCCTCTCGGAGGCCTCTTGGAGCCTTTGGGGGGCTTCTTGGGGGCCTCTAAGGGCCTTCTGGGAGCCTCTCGGGGCCGAGGGCTCAAAATATCTGTTCGGTTCCCCTGTCTGGGCACCCTCTTGGAGCCCTATTGAGGGCCGATTGGTCCGTCTTGCAGGCATCTTCGGCCGTCTTCGGGCCCTCTTTGACCCGATTCGGGACCCTTTTGGATGCCTCTTGGGGCGATCGTTGGAGCCTCTTGGGCCGTCTTAGCGCGTCGGGACGCTGAAAAGGCGAGAACGCCCCAATCCTTGAAGATTTTGAAAACAATGAGTTTTGCCTCTTGGGGCTCTCTTGGGGGCGCTCTTCGAGGCCTCTTGGGGCGTCATCCAGCCCTCGTGGGCCGTCTGGAAGCCGATCGTTCGGTGATCCGGTCTTGGGGGCCTCTTGGGGCACTTTGGGCTCGTCTTGAGATTTTTTGGGCCTCAGGCCCCCCCTGGGGGGAGGGTGATCTGACCCGGGCCCCCGCGCGACCCCCCAGGATCCCCTCCCCCTGGCGCGGAAGGGATCAAAGGGAAGGGGCTTCCTTTTGATTCAATTGCGACGTTGCTCAATTTCGTTGTGGCTGGCGCGCTTGAGGAAGAGTCCCAGGAAAAGGGAGGGCGGCGACGGGCCCAGGGAAAGAGAGGCAGCGGCGACGGCGACGACAACAACGTCGACGAAGACGAGTCAAACGGAACAGCCTCTCCCACACGCCACGCCGACAGGGTCGGCGGATTTGCGAAAGATAGAACGTTATTTGTTGTGTTTTGAAACGTCTAGTTTCGCGCTCGCCCGCTCGAGGAACATGTGTCCCCCATCTCTAGGGTTCTTGATACAGAACGGAGTCCGCAGACATACCCTGTCACCCCTAAGAGTCAAGGTGCAGAGCGTTTTACGCCGAATACACTATCAAACACAAGGTGTGGAAGTTCTGAGATTTGTAACCAAAGACGAATAGATCTTTTTGCGTGCCCGCTCGAGGATGGCGCGCTGGCGGAACTATTCGCGATATATGAGAAGGTGAAGTCTGATTGTTGTTTGAAAAATGTGTTTCGCGCATGCGCGCTCCAGGAACATGCGCCACTCATTTCGAATCCTCCAGAAATGCAGGGTCTGCAAACACACGGTTGCCCCCGGTCAGAGAAAAACAAAACAAAAATCGGAACGTTGTGTGCAGAATCCGCGATGAAACACGGGGTCTGGAGGCTTTGACATTTGTCAGAAAATTCAAGATGTAGACTTTTTGCGTGCACGCTCGAGGATGGCGCCCCCTGCGCGCCGAATATCTGAGGATGTCTCGAGCGAAGCGCTTGGCCTGGGCGCCCCAGGATGCCCAAATGGTTCTGGGAGCCCGAACACAGCGCAGTTTACTGGTTAACGTGGCTCTGGGAGCGCGGAGACAGCGTAATTCACCACAGGATCCGACTTGAATAAGGAACACTTGCTTTTCAAAAGGGGCTCGGTCGTCCCTTTGGTTTGCATGCGTTCCGCGACCTTTTTGGCGGCGAGCCCCCCTGGTGTTCCTTCGGATTTTGGACGCGCGGGTCCGCTCCTTCGGATTTTGTAGACTTACTTGAACAACAAAGGGGCTCCGTTCCTTATGTATCCTTCCTTGGGTCAGGCCCAATCCTGTAAGGAGCGCGGCCCTGGGAGCCTGGACACAGCGTAGTTCACGAGCGAGGAATCGTGGCCCTGGGAGCGCGGACGCAGCGGAAGGCCCTGGGAGCGCGGATGCCGCGTGTCTTCCGAGGGCTCCTGGCCCCGGCCGCCGCGGTGGTGCCGATATTCCTACTTTTCGTTTACGTTGCACCGAGGTTCATCGCAGCCGTCGCCGCGTCTGAACGCTCGTGCTGAGAGATAGGAAAGCCCACGCGCTTGACATGAAAGCATCAATCGAGCAACTTGTGAGCAGTAACTGGGCGGGCGAAAGGGCAGGCGGGGAGGCGGGGGAGGCCGGAGGGGCAGGTCGTCCAGCCTCGCGAAGGGCTGCCCTCCCGCCTCCTCGTCCTCCCGCTCCTCGGAGGATTCGGATGCAGCTCCTGGGAGGTCAAATTCCGATGTAGCCCTGGTCCGAAATCCCGCTTCATCCCGCTGAATCCGGCTTCATCTGGCTTAATCCGGCTCAATCCCGCTTGATCCGAGGCCCACTCCGGCGCAACAGCCCCCCAATGGGGCCTAATCTTCCTTCATCCTCCCTGCGAAAACCTCCCAGTACAGTCGGGGCGCTGAAGAAGGAACCTTTTTCGATGGGGAGGGGCTTGGTGTTCCTTGATTGTTTTACAGTTTGCCTAGGGTTTTCCTGCGGTTTTCGATGGGAATTCGAAGTTTAATTTCTGGAGAAAAGGGGCCTCGTTCCCTATTTTGGGTTCCTTAGGTCAACGCCCCGACGGTAATCCTTCCTGCGAAGACCTGCCAGCAGTTGCCTCCTGACGAGGAGCAGGACCCCCAGAAGATGGCGGGGCTGAAGATGCGGGGGCTCCGGAAGTCGGACCAGAGCGCCTGCTCGGCCGTCTTCCGCCGCGTCTTCGACCACGAGGCGCGGCGGGCAGGGGGGAGGAGGAGGAGGAGGAGGAGGAGGAGGAGGAGGAGGAGGGGGAGGAGGAGGAGGAGGAGGAGGAGGAGGAGGAGGAGGAGGAGGAGGAGGAGGAGAGGAGGAGGAGGAGGTGAGGAGGTCAGAGGCGGAGAGGGGAGGGGGGGGATGAAAGAAGGGGGAGGAGGAGGCGGAGGAGGCGGAGGAGGCGGAGGAGGAGGAGGAGGAGGAGGAGGAGGGGGGGGGGCAGTGCTAGGAGGAGGGAGGAGTGAGATGAGGAGGTGCTCAATGGAGGAGCAGCCACTGATTCCGCTGCTCGTTCTGTACCCTCGTCGCCGCCGCACCGCGGTCAGACGAAGAGGACCTAGACCTCCACTCGCTGCGGAACAGAAACACGGCTGCAGGTTTCGACACATGTTGGCCTCGGGGGTCTTTCTCCCCCCAAGAAACGTCAGCAGAAACGGCTCGTCATGAAGCTGGCTTGTGAAACAGTTCCAGACCTCTGTGGACCCGCGTCGTGACCAAAAATCACGATGTCGGAGGTCGGGATCCTTGCCCGGGTCCAATCCATGGCACGTCTCGTCGTCCACCATGCATGCTGTGCCCGAGATCCGCGGAGAGCGACTTAGTATCCCCCGCGGGCGTGACTGGGGGGGAGAGGGGGGGAGGGGGCCGGTCACGTCACGATTCGCGCCGGCGCCGTCTGCGATTGTTTAGGAACGTCGCATTTCCAGACGGCGCGGGCGCAAATCGTGACGTGGCCAGGGGGGTGGGTGAGGGGGGAGGGGGCGGGGCTGGTCACGGGCGTTATCGCTCATAAGGGATTGACAGGCTTTCGACTGTGCATGGGTCCTGAGGTTCGCGCCGTCGTCATCAGCAGAGGAGGAGCGTTGGACGCGGCGTTGGACCGGAGGAGGACAGCCGTGCAGGTCCACCTCTTTCCTCCCCCATGTCCCCCTTCCAGGAAGGAGGACACCAATCAGAAGAGGAGGGGGGAGGGAGGAGGAAGAAGGTGGACCTGCACAAATGCTCGTTGTTCAGGAGGCGTACGCCACTCCGCCGACCCCCAGAAGAGGAGATGTGCCGCTTCTGATTTCGTCTGAGTGTTGCTGTTTCTGGTTTGTTCACGCTCTTCCTCCACGCCTGTTGCGGGGTTCCTTGGGGGGGCCCACTGAGGGCTTCTCGGGGGTTTCTTGGGGATACCTTTGGGACGCGTGGGGCGTCTTGTGGGCCAGCTTGGGGGGGGTGGCTCCTGGGGCCCTTCAGAAGTTCCCCCCTCGTGCGCCTCCCTTTGCCTGTCTTGGGGCCCTCGTGACCACCCTTCTGGCCGCCTTGCGGGCCTCTCTTGAGCAGGTTGGGGCCCCGCCCTGGGCCCATCTCCGGGCCCTCTCGGGGGCCTGGTCGGCCACCTCGGGCCTAGGCTGGAGGGCGCGTGTGGCCGTCTCGGGGTTCGGGTCCCATCGAAACGGCGACACCGCGAGCACGGTCTCCTCCTGAAGCCGTCCTGTGGGTCCTCGTGGGCCCTTGGTGGGCATCTTCCAGACCTCCTCGGGCCGTGCTGAGATCCTCTCGGATGTTTCTGGAGGCCCCTCCGGCGCGTCGGAGCCCTCCCTGAGCTGTCTCCGAGGCCCAGGGAGGCGCGCCGAGCCCCACCCCTGTCGAACGGGATTCTGGACGCCAGGGGGGACGGGACAGCCAGGTGTCGTCTCTCCTCCTCCTCCTCCTCCTCCTCCTCCTCCTCCTCCTCCTCCTCCTCCTCCTCCTCCTCCTCCTCCTCCTCCTCCTCCTCCTCCTCCTCCTCCTCTCCTCCTCCTCCTCCTCCTCCTCCTCCTCCTCCTCCTCCTCTCCTCCTCCTCTCCTCCTCCCTCTCCTCCTCCTCCTCCTCCTCCTCCTCCTCCTCCTCCTCCTCCTCCTCTCCTCATCCCGCACCTGGCAAGCGGGCGTCGGCGGACCCACTGGGAGGGGTGGGCAGGGTGAGGGCAGCGGAGCAGCCATCTCTGGGAACGGTGCGCGCCAAGGCGTCTAGGATTTCCGGGGTCTCCAACATGCCGTGCTGGTCTCACGTCGGGCATGTCCCTCTACAGGGAGAGAACACTCAGACACTGTTGACACAACTTGTACGGGGACGATTCTATTTGACTCGCGTTTTCACTCTCTCTCTCTCTCTCTCTTATTTTTTAGGTTTTTTCCTCCCAGAGGGAGGAGGAAGGAGGGAGGAGGGAGGAGGGAGAAGGGAGGAGGGAGGAGGGAGGAGGGAGGAGGACGTGCCCGACCTGCTGCCGGTCCGCACGGGCTCCGGCAGCGCGGGCCCTTGGCTGCCCCCGCGGCCCCCGAGCGCGCAGCCCGCGCCGAGCTCGCGGGCACGGCGGCGCCCTCGCCCGCCCCGTGCCGTGAGGGTGAAGTCGGGCCTGTCCCTCTGCAGGGGGGATGTTCAAACATAGTCAAACAAATAGTCAGGGGACGATTTTGTTTGACAGTGTTTATGCACGTTTAGAGTCCGTTTGGGGGGTATGTCTCATTTTCCGCCCGTCGCTCATGCAAGAATAGTCAAAACAATAGTCTGGGGACGATTTTTTTTGACAGTGGTTATGCATGTTTATAGTATGTTTGGGGGTATTGTTTAAATTTTCCGTCCAACGTCCCCCTGTAGGCTAGGGAGACAGGCCCGACCTGATGTCGGGGGCCCGGGCGCGCGCCCTCCAGCGCCCGAGAGGCCGCCGAGCTGGACAAGGACCTGTACGGCATCCTGGGCCTGCAGGACGACGCCGACGAGGGCGACATCAAGAAGGCCTCGCGCGTGGCGTCGCCCGGGCGTGTGCGCTTTTTCTCGGCGGGGACCATTATCGGGCCGGACGAAAGGGGGGGATTGGGAAAGGGGGGGGTGCGAAATTTGCTGCATGCAGCTGGTGGCGGCCCCACCGAGGGGCCCATTTCTCGATGCATGGCCGCCTCCCGGCGCCGGGAGGCGCCGGGAAAATCAGCTCCGCGAGCTGATTCTCAGACCCCCCCTTTGCTATCCCTCCCTTTCGCCCGGCCCGATATTAAGGAGCATCCTGGATCATCCCGCGAAACAGCCGCGCACGAAACCGACAAACAACACAACACAGGGAACGGACGTCCGAGCGACGGGGAGCGCGGGGAGCTCGGGCGCAGGGGCGCGGCGGCGCCTCGGGGCGCGAGGATCGAGAAGCTCTCGGGGGGGCTCTGCGCCTCTTGCTTTCTTCTGTTTGACTTTGCGAGCCGGCCGCGCCGAGGGGGCGAGCGTCAGGGCTGGAGGAGGGAGGCTCCTCCCGCAAAGGGAGCGGGCCCAGGGCTTCCCCTTTGGCACCGGGGAGCCTCTCCTCAGTGCCAAGGTCGAGGTGGGCCGGCGGAGTGGTCCCTTGATAATTGGCGAGGGCGAGGTTGGCAGGCGGAGGAACAGTTGAGGTCGTCCCGACCCGAGCGCTGCTTGGTGGCATTCAGGAGGGGAAAAAACACACAGACACAACTAATCGTCGATTCCCAAGAAAATATGGGAACATATGGGCAGTGAGGGGAAGACAGAAACCCAGAAAATATTGGAAAATATGGGGAATACTTTTATTTGTGTGTATTTACTTGTTTGTCCTGGGGCCCCTTCAGACATTCCCATCGATAGAGCACGCACCGAAGTGAAGTGAACATGTTCGTTTGTTGCGGATGTCTTGAGCGGAACGCGTCTGTTGCCGCAACGGTTGAGAATGTTCGGGCGAAGCGCCTGTTCTGTCTTGCAGGTTGCCCCTCTCCTGGAGCTCGAGCCCCTTGTGTGTTTACGTGTCTGCCTACACGGTTGCCCTAGCGAGCGCCCCAGGGCGGGACAGGCGTGCAAACGCGTGGGGCCCCAACGCCCCAGGGCGGGACAGGCGTGCAAACACATGGGCTCCTACCCCCCCCAGGGCCGGACCAGCGTGAAAACGCATGGTTCCTGACGTCCCAGAGCGGGACAAGCTTGAATACATGCACGCGTGGGTTCTTAAGGCCCCAAAGCGGGACAGGCATGGAAACACATAGGTTACTAACGCCCCAAAGCGGGACAAGAATGACAACGCACGGGTTTTAACGTCCCAAAGCGGGGCAAGCGTGGAAATCGATGGATTCCTAACGCTTTGGATGGGACAAGCGTGAAAACACATGGGTTCTGACCGCGCCCCAGCGGGAGACGTGTGAACACACATGGGTTCCTAACGCTCCCGGGCGGGACAAGCTTGAAACACACATGGGTTTCTGACGCCCCAGACCTGGACAAGCGTACAAGCGTGAACACATGTAGGTTCGTAACGTCCCGGAGCGGGACAAGCGTAAAAACAAATGGGTTCTTCACGCCCCAATGCGGAACAAGCGTGAACACATTTGGGTTCCTGACGCCCCAGAGGGGGCGGGAACAGCGCGACATCACATGGGCTCCTGACGCCCCAGGGCGGGACAAGCGTGAACACACATGGGTTCCTAACGCCCCAGGGCGAACAAGCGTGAACATACGTAGGCTCTTGACGCCGCAGGGTTGGACAAGCTTGAAAAAGCTTAGGTTCCTAACGCCTCAAGAGCGGGACAAGCATGAAAACACATGGTTCCTAACTCCCCTGAGCGGGACAATCGCGAAACCACGTGAGTTCCCGACGACGCAAAGCGAAGCAAGCGTGAGAACATGTGGGTTCTTGATTCTCCAGAGCGGGACAGGCGTGAAAGCGCATGGGTTCCTGGCGCCCCAGAGCGGAACAGGCGTGGAAACACTTGGATTCCTAACGCCCCAGAGCGGGACAAGAGTGAGCACACATGGGCTCCTGACGCCACAGAGCGGGACGGCGTATGCCCCTCCCCCCTCGGTGCGTCCCCTGGCTCGTCCTCTGTCGCGTTCGTTCCGTAGCGCGTCCTTTGCCACGTCTTTGGGCACGTCACCTGGCGCATCCCCTGGTGCGCCCCTGGCACATCCCGTTCGCGCGCCCATGTGCCCCGCGCCCCGTGCCGTCTCGCCTCGCCTCGAAAGTAAGTCGCATCTTGAGCTCGAGCTCATTGAGCGTTCCGCATGTTTCCACTGCAACCAGCTCTGTGCCGACTATGCGCTCAGGCAGCTCGAGCTCAAGATCCAGGTCAGTTCGGTCAGGATTCGGATGCCAAGGGCGACTTGATCCATAACGCTATAGAGCACAACGCAACTCATGGCGGCGTGAGACATTTCAGTTCAGCACGGCACAGCACAACCCTCGGCATCGCACATTTTCATTGATATCCTCAGTATTGCAATCGCCAGTCGCCCAAACAGGTGTCTTGAAAGCCCGTAGCCATGCCTTCACATTTCTAAATTCCTTTCGGGTTTCGTGGGTCGATCATGCTGGGCGTTCTGCGTTTTCTTCCCTGGGGCCCTCGCAGGGGGAGTCCTGGGACCTCGGAGGTCTACAGGAAGTTGTCCATCAAGTACCATCCGGACAAGAACCCCGACGAGGAGTCCAAGAAGAAGTTCGCCGAGGTCCGGGACGCGTACGAGATCCTGAACGACCCGGACAAGAAGATCCTGTACGACACCGGAGGCATGGAGGCCGTGAAGAAGTTCGAGAAGAACGAGGTCGAGAGGGGGGACGACTTCGGCACCTCCGTCACCGTCCGGCTCGAGGACCTCTACTCCAGCGGCGTGCACAAGGCCTCCATCCGCCGACGCGTGGTGTGCCGAGGCCTCCCCGCGCTGCCAGAAAGGGGAAGGGGGGCGGGGGATCTGGCCGATGTCGGAGTCATTTATCGCAGGCGTTTTTTCCCCCCCAAACTCCCAGGCTCCGCCCAAAAAGTTTGGCCGCTCAGTCAGAGATAAGGGGAAACCCTGGGATACACCCCAAGGGGGCGATTCGAGCGCACCCTTATCGAAGATGGACGCCCCCCCTCGTACATCCCAGGGCTGGGCCCAAGTTTCTGGTCCACTCGGAAACCGCACTCGGTCTGGGACATGGATCGACACATCCTGTGTTTATTGAGAGGCCTCCAAAGTCCAAGCGGAAACGAAACAGCTACAGATCGAATAGCCGTCGAAGTTTTGAGAAGGTTTCTGAAAGGTCTGAGCCTCCTGTGGGGCTGGCGCCGGGGGGCGGCCCCCCTAGATGGCAAACTCTTGCCTCTCGGCAAGCCCTCCTGCCTTCTCGGAGCCGGGAGGGGTCGTCTGCATAGCAGCAGCCCAGGTGAGACGATCCAGAAAGGGGCACGCCTTCCTTATCGGGGTTCGATGCGTGGGCAGCCGGCGGAAGGCCGGCAGATTGGGTGCAGGCCGGAGGAAGCAAGCCATGCCCTTTCTTAAGCAGTGACGACGCGTCCTGGCGTGCCTACAGGCCTACCAAGCAATGTTCTCAGAACCTTTTTTGTGGTTTCCACGAAGTGTTACTAGAACATTTCTGGCCTGAGCCGTCTTGTTTTAAGACATCGGGTTTGTGTTCTAAGAGCATCGCTGTTGTTCTTAGAGCATGTTTGGGTTCGAAGAACATTCCGTTGTAGGCCTATATAGAAATGCCGGGACGGTCGGTCTTTGTTCCACTCCCGCCCGGGAGGTGGCAGCATCTCTGGATCCGTGTGGTCCGGAGCGGGGAGCAGATGTGGGCCACGGCAGGTGGGGCTAGAATCTCAGGACGCATCGACGATGCATCGGCGACGCGATGCCATCTTCCAAGCCCATCCAGTCGGACCGGGCGAAAGGGGGGGATTGGGAAAGGGGGGGGTACAAAATTTGCTGCATGCAGCTGGTTTCGGCTTCACCGAGGGGCCCGTTCCTCGATACATAGCCGCCTCCGTCGCCGGGAGGCGCCGGGAAAATCAGCTACGTGAGCTGATTCTCAACCCCCCCCCCTTTGCTATCCCCCCCTTTCGCCCGACCCGATCCAGGGGGGGGAGTTTGATAATCGTTGGGCCGAAAGGCTCGAGTTTGCCAGGACGTTGGTTTTCCGCCGCTCTCTGATGATCCTGGCAGGAGTTTTGATGGTCCAGTGTTCGTGAGATCATTGCAGCGGGATCTCGCGCCATTTTTCAAAGCAGGGCCTGCCATCTTTACGAACGGCAGTTTCCGAGGCGTCCTTGCTTTTGGCGGGTGGTGGACATGGATATCTCTTGGGCCCTCCGGGGACGGAAACTATCTACACCCACGGCCTTCTGGATTCCAAGAAGGATCGGTTCCCCGGGCGGTGGACATGCATACTTCCAGCTTCGTACCATCAAGCGAATTCGAGTCCCCCAAACCTGTCGAGTCCCAGAGACTGTTTTTTAGGTCTGGGCGACAGCAGCCGTGATCGGCCCTCACCCTCCCACTCCCCCCCTGGATCACGTCCCGATATTCTGCCCACAGTTGCAGAGAGATTCCTTGCGGATTCTTCGAGGATTTCCTCAGATTCCCGGCGGCCCCTTGCCGTTCTGTGATCGGGGGACGAACTTGCCCCCCCCTTCCCCCGATCGCGCCCGCTCTCGCGAAGAATCTGCTCCTGCAGAAAAATCGCAGGCTCCTGCGCCTCCAGGGGCAACGTCAGGGTGGGTTCGGTAGCAAATCATGGGGGAGCCTGGCCCACCCTCTGAAATTCTGTTTTCAGCGTCGACTGGCGTCGACTGACGAACGAACAACACGCACCCATACCCATAGGGGGGTCGTTGGGAGGAGGACTGGTTATGGGTATGGGTGCGTGTTGTCGGATCCTGGGGAACGCTCCCGTTCGAGCGGGGACCCCATCCGACAACACGCACCCATAGCCCTCTCCGACCCCCCCCTATGGATATGGGTGTGTGTGTGTGTGTTGTTGGTTCGTCATCGACCGAGTCGATGGGGCGGCGTCGACCTGCGTCGATCTGGCGTCGCTGAGCGTCGATTCCGCGCCGACTGGCGTCGATCCGCAAGAGCCGACCAGATGGCATGGGAGGCTCCCATGACTTGTGCCACCGTGGGTTTGAGTCGGGCCTGTCCCTCTGCAGGGGGAATGTTCAGAAATGAGCAACAACAACTAGTCTGGGGACTATGTTTGAACACTTGTGGGCATCTTCTGCACATATTTTTGGAGCATTTTTTTTTTAAATTGTCGTTCAGAATCCCCCTGTAGGTGGACAGGTCCGACCTAGCCGTGGGCGGGCCTGGCCAGCTCGGGAACTCGCCGGCCTTCCGCCGCCCACTCCTCCCGCCGGGCGGGGGCCGGCCCCCCCCCCCCCCGCCCCGCCGGGGACCGTGCGGCCTTTCGCCCTCGAGGGCCGCCCGTCAGTGGCGCCCACGAGGGCGCTCGCGCTCGGCCTCGCCTCCTACTGCTCCTCCTGATCGCGTCCGCCTCCTCCTCCTCCTCCTCCAACCTCCTCCTCCTCCTCCTCCTCCTCCTCCTCCCCTCCTCCTCCTCCTCATCCCCCTCCTCCTCCTCCTCCTCCTCCTCCTCCTCCTCCTCCTCCTCCTCCTCCTCCTCCTCCAACTTCCTCCTCGTCGTCGTGGTCATGGTCGTGGTCGTGGTCGTGGTCTCGGTCGTGGTAGTGGTCGTGGTCGTCGTCGTGGTCGTGGTCGTCGTCGTCGTCGTCGCTCCTGGGGGGCGGCGCGAGGGCGCGAGGGTCTTCGCGCGGCGCGCAGCGCGCACCGCGAGGCTCGGCGCCCGGATCGTCGACCCAACGGCGGTGCATCGTCGGGAGCGGAGAAGAGGGGGGTGATGACTAGGGGGGGGGGGTGGATTTCATGGCGCGGGCCATGATTTTTCCTCAGATCTCATGGCGCTTCTTATTTTATTACGTCCCAGGCTCCCCCGCTGGGCCGCGCACATGCCGCAGGTCATGATTTGCACCCCCCCTCTTGGACACCCCCCTCTTGGCCGCTCCCGACATCGCCGATTCCAAGTGAGATGGTTCCCTCCCTGATCCAGCCCCGCCCCGATTCCCTGGACTTCTTTCTTTTTTTTTCCTGGCCCCAGGGGGTCCTGGACCCGGCCAGGGCGTCGCGCAATGAGGGGGGGCGGTCAAGGAGGGGGCAGCGAGGGCTGCAGAAAAGGAGCCCTTTCGTGTCCCTGCAAGGGGCCCGCGAGGGCCCCAAAGGGGCCTTTGGGGCCCGAAGAGCGGGCTTTTCTTCCTCCCTCCATTTGCAGTAGCAAGTTTCAATGAAACCTTCCCCTTCGGGCCCATCCTTGGCTGGTTTCGCTGGCCGCGCCCCGCTCGCAAAGTGTCGACATGGCCCAAGGCCCAGGCATCCTCATCGTGCGTCCTTATGATATGGGTTGACTGTATCGCCCCCCCTTTCAGCGACGCCCGACTGTTTCACAGCGTGGGCCCGGCTGAAATAAAAACTGGCAACGGCCTCGCAACTCAAGAGACGGGGAGTCACTGCAAACGGGGGTCCGTCAGAGTGCGGGATCTTGCAGGATCCTGCTGAGCCAGGGGTGCATTGACCGGGCTTGGGTGCAGGATCATCAGCGGCACTGTAATTTGTAATTACTCACAAACGGGTAATTTGGAAAATTGCCGAAAGTTGTCACTTTAGGGCCTCTTTCTGGCATTGGGGAGGGTTGGGTTTGCCGGACCACTGGCCAAGGCACCCATTAGTGGAGTCCCCGTGAGAGGGATCGTTGACTGCAGGACCGTGCAGCAGGATCCTGCAGGGCCCGACTGACCCAGGTTGGGAGCTACCCGGATCAGTAAAGTTCAGTTGGGCCTGTCCCTCTACAGGGGGAATATTCAGAAATAGTAAAAAATAGTCTGGGGACGACTATTTGACCATGTTTGATTATTTTTGACAATCGTCCAGGATCCGCCTGTAGGGGAACATGCCCGACTCAACAGTAGGTCTCCGACGTCGGCCCTTGGCGATGTCTTGTTTGTTGTTTTGGTTCCACGACGCGAGGGGGGGGGGCTGAGCTTGTCGACTCCCCTTCGGGATCGAGGATCGAGGAGGGGGTCGAGGAGGGGGGTCGAGGAGGGGGGTCGAGGAGGTTTGGGGGGGCTGAGCCTGTCGACTCCCCCTCGGGGCGCCCTCCCCCCCGAAGGGCCTGAGCCTGTAGACTCCCCCCTCGGGGCGCCCTCCCCCCCCCCCCCTAGAGAGAGGAGAGTTCCGAGGGGAGGGGGGGGGCAGGGTGCAGCCAGGAGGGAGCAGGAAACACACGCGGACACACAGACACCCTCATCCTGGCGGCCCTAAACTACCAGGGGGGACGGGCTCGGCCCGCTCATAGACTACGACCTCTGAGGCTGCGCCTTTTCTTGCCGCCTCTCTGTAAGCAAGACAGACTCTTCCGGGCACGAGTGGCACACACAGCCACCCTGCAACCCGGTACAACGACAGAGGGGGGAGTAGGCACAGGGTGGGACGCATCGGCCCCCAATCGCCCACTCATCGCCGATAGGGGCCCAACAGCCCCTACCCGCCCGGGAACGTGCGGATTCATTACCGCGGGCCTATCGCCGATCTTTTGGCGATGTATCGCCCATTTCAGGGCGATGCTTCCCTTCTGCCTATCCCCCCCGACCGTTGCCCCTCAGTCAATCAGAGGATGGAAGGTACAGTCAAACGGAGACATAAGATCGAGGTTGGTGTGGGAGGGTACCCTGACGTTCTTCGTGCCCGTTGGATGTTATCGTGCATCCCGGGGAGGGTCATATGTGTTATTATGATGTTAGCCGACGGAGGGTCTCATGCCCTTTCGGGACGCTCTTCTGACATAGGTCCGACTGTACTCATACATACTGCTACGTTTCCCTCGTTTTTCTTGGGGGGGGCCTCCTAGGAGGCCCTCGTCGTAACTCCTGCAGTCGCCTTGAGATCCTGGTCAGAACGCACCCACGGGGAGGCCCGGGGAGAAGGGGTATCGGTGCCTCTTGGTTTGCCCACTCCGGGCGCTCTGCCTCAGAAGAAGTTCCCGAGGGGAGGGGGCAGGGTGCAATCGGGAGGGGGCCCAAAAAGATACAGGCACAAGGAATCACCGAGCCCAATGAAAATATCGAACGCCTGGGAAGCGGAGGGGAAAGACTAGCATGCGGGAAATGGAGAACATACGGTGAATCCTAGGATTTGTGTCTCCTTCTTTGTGTGCGCCCCTTCAGCCGCCCCTTCGCGCGGGTCTCGCCTGTCCTCGCCCCCCCTGCCCCCCAATGGCCACAGCAGACCAACCCAAAAGCCGGGGCGACGACTTTGCTCCAATATACAGCCATTCGGGCGGGTGGTCATGGGGGGTGTCCTGAATGAGGGGTGGAGAACAAGGGCCTAAAGGGGCCCTCTGGTCAGAAGAGGAAAAGTACACATGCCGCCACCTTTCGCCCGTTATTCTCTTTTTGGACCTGTTGGGAGGCTCTCGTCCCCACCGCTGGATTCGCCTCGGAATTTTGGTCAGAACGCATCTCCGGATATTTCGGCCCGGGGAGTAGCGGTATTGGTGTTTGTTGGTTCTCCATTTCGGGCCCCTTCTGGGCCCAGAAGGAGCCCTTACAGGGCCCAGAAGGGGCCCTTACAGGGTTCCTTGAGGACCCGTTCTCTTCACCCCACACTTGCGTCACCCCGCATTATCACTCACCTGAGCAGTCACAGTGGGTCGTTTGGGGATCGCTCCTGTTTGTTCTGCCCTTCCTCTCCCGCGCTCCTTTTCCCCCTCGTTCTCCCTCCTCCTCCCTTTCCTCTTTCCACCCTCCTCCTCCCTCCCCTTTCTTTTCCTCCCCTCCTGCTCCTCCCCAGGGGGGTGGGAGGCTGCTTGCCAGCATTGGAATCCGCGAACACCGACCTGAAGATCGGGACAACGGCGGCCGCCCGCCCGGACTTTCTTCAACCGTTTTCGGCCTCCCTGAGGTGCCTCGTCTCCACGGCTGGACCCGCCTCGAACAAAAAACGACAACATGGATCCTGGGGGAGGTCTGCGGATGGATTGTAAGCAGATTTGGGCCAGGTGGGTGACGTCGTTGCATCCTCTGAAAACGCCGATCCTGAAGTCCATCCCGCCAGGATTCATCGATCCGACCAGCCCGATTCGATATCGATTCCAGCCAGCCCGATCCGATCCGGTTCTGATGCTCTCGCGATCCGATGCGGCCCGATGCTTGGCGAGGCGCTGTGCATCCTGGCGCGGCCAGTCCGCTTCGACGCCGACTCCTTGCCGGTGCGGCCCCGTTCGACGCACATGTCGATGTGCCCCGACTTCCATTCGATGCCGACCGATCCTGCGATCATCGAGCACCCGTCCTCAAGTCCATGCTGGCCAGTTCTTCGAGCCGCGCCTGGCCGCGGAGACGAGAAAGAGACTTCAGACGTACGTACCCTAGACGACGACGTGGCCGGTTGTCCCGCAGCCCGCGAGGGTGCCGCACCAAGCCGGACTCGCCAAAGTGCAAGGGGTGCCAGCGGTGCCCCAACGAGGTCCGGATGGTGAACCGGCAGGTCGGCCCGGGGATGTTCATGCAGCAGCAGGAGGAGGTCCAGAGCAAGGAGAAGTGCAAGGATCGGGGCGGACGAGGGGAAGGGCTGGTCTCAAGGGTGGCGTCTCCCTCCACAGGAGGAGAATTCAGAGCTACACAAAATAGTCAGGGGACGATGCTTCCACTATTTGGGGTTGTTTTTGGGTATCTGTCGCATCTTTTTTTTCATTTGTCGTCCAAAATCCCCCCGTGGTTGGCCATGCCCGACCTAAGGTCGGGCCAGGCGAAAGGGGGGGATTGGGAAAGGGGGGGTTACGAAATTTGCTGCATGCAGCTGGTTTCGGCCTCACCGAGGGGCCCATTCCTCGATGCATAGCCGCCTCCGGCGCCGGGAGGCGCCGGGAAAATCAGCTACGCGAGCTGATTCTCAAACCCCCCCTTTTGCTATCCCCCCTTTCGCCCGACCGAAGGGTGGTGGGGAGCGGGCGGGCGATGCGGGCGAAGCGTGCTGAGAGAAGGACCCGTGCTGTGCTGGGTTCGGGAGGGGCGCCGGTGCTCGGGCCCGCTCCTGAGAGGTCCATTGGTTCGATGCTCGTTTCGGGGACCTTCCTGGAGCCCACCTAACGGATCTGTTCGACCCCAGTTCGACTCAAGTTCGACTCAAGTTCGACTCAAGTTCGACTCAAGTTCGACTCAGGTTCGACTCAGGTTCGACTCAGGTTCGACTCAGGGTCGACCCACATCGACTGACGTTCGACGCAGCTTCGACGCACGAGTGGAGCGAGTGGCTCCAGGAAGGTCCCCAGAACGAGCATCTAACATTGGGTCGGGCCTGTCCCCCTACAGGCCGATTTTGGGCGAATAATACAAGTGCGAAGCATATCCCTGTCCCTATGTCTGACATCATCTCACCTCGATGCCGATCTGAAGGATTCCCTCAGTTTCTGAGGGCCCATCCCAAAGAGTGTCCTCGCTTTTTGCTCGCCCATCTTAGGGATAGGGATCCGTTCGAGGCTGGTTAGAAAAATGACAAATATGGTCAAACAAATCTTCAAACATGCAGAAATAGTAGACAAGTCGTCCACCTAACATTCTTTGACTATGTTTGACTATTCCTCCTGTAGAGGGACAGGCCCGACTCAAGTTTCTGTTGTTCCAGCCTACTCTAGCTGTGATCACAAGAATGAAAGTCGAGAACCAAGGAATTGCCGAAGCTGGAGGGCTTTCACGTGTCGGGCCCTGGGAGGCGGTACTCGTTCGACATTGCTTCGATACTTTTCTGGGTGCTCGGATGGGAGCAACAGAAAGTCCAGGTCGGAAAGCGAGCTCATGGCCAAGGCTCGCCGTGGCCAGAAATGCTCCTCCGTGCCTTTCTTCTGCGGTCTTGATGGTAGCACCAGGGCTGCACTAACGGAACACCGCTGCGCGCAGCTGGTTGCGGGGTCCCCTCCGAGAAGTGCCCCTCGATGATCGGTCGATCCCGGCATCTTTTTTCTTGTACCGGTTAGCTGGCACGAAGCCACAACCAAAAGAGTAGAACGAAGCAAGAGTCGCCCTAACAAGACCATGCCTCCGAGACGCCAAAAACCTCAAATCGGGTGCTGGCTACGAATTGAGCTAAAAGCAACGGTGCGGGGTCAAGATGGCGACCTACACTGTACAACATCCATACTGACACCAGGTGCAACTCGAAAGGCAAGCACGATGAAGACCTCTTGCTTCGCGGGGTGCACGTCCAGAGCTCGCAAAGGCAGCGCTGGGTGGTGTGCCCTGCTGGTCTGCCGCGCCGGTCTGGCAGCTCGTCCTGCCCGCCCCGGGGCGTTGCCGGCGCCCCGGGGGGGCGGATGCGCCCTGCTTGCTTCAGCGCTGGGACGAGCGTTCGACTGAGGCACTGAGCTTCTGATGCTCCAGCTTGCTTTAGCCTTGATCACCCGGAAGAATTTCGAGCGCCCCAAAAAGTGCCGAAACTCAAGGGTTTTCACGTGTCGGGCCATGGGGAGACATGCGCCCGACATTGCTTCGACACTGTTTCGACGCTCTTTTGACACTTTTCCGGGTGCTCGGAATTATGTCTGGGATGTGGTCCTTAAGTAAGATGGGAACAACATAACATTGAGCATTCACCACGTGTCAGCACAAGGCGACGCGAACCAGCGATGAGCAGAGCAACAGCGCGCCTTTCGCGTGCAGTTGCGCGGGCGTCCTGGCGGTTTTGGGGGGCCCCTTGGGGGCCCGTGGGGGGCCTCTTGGGAGCGCCTTGGGGGCCTCTGGGAGCCTCTTGGTGGTCTCTTCGGGGCTTCTGTCGGTCTCGTGGGAGGGTCCTGGGCCGTCTTGGGGTCCTCCTGCACCGTCTGGCCCCTTCGGAGGCGTCTGGAGGGCCTCTCGGGGCCGCCTTGGGCCTCTCTTGGAGTGCCCTGGGGCCGTCTTCGGGGCCTGTTGGGCGGTCTTGGGGGCCTCGTTGGGCCATTTTGGGGCCCTCCTGGGCCGTCTTGGGACCATCTTGGAGGCGTCCAGGGCTGTGTGGGGTCCATCTTTGAGGCTGCTCGGGCTGATAAACCGAGAGTTGAAAAGGCGAGAACGCTAACCGTTGAAATACATATAGACAATGACAGTTTTTGTTTGCTTCCAGGCGCTCTCTTGGGTGTGCACTTGGGGCAATATTTGGCCGCCGTGGGGCCATGTTGGGCCCTCTTGGGGCCGGCTTGGGGCTGGGTTGGTTGGGTTGTCTTGGGGCCATATTGGGCCATTTTGAGGCCAACCTTGGGCCGCCTTGAGGCCCTGTTGGACTCCCAAGAGGGCCAAAAGGACGGAGTCATATCTGTTCCATCGGTGTTGGTAAGGTTTTGAGCCCCAGAAAGGGGTTCACTATCTTTGGTAGGCGGATGTAGCGCGACTCTTGGGGGGGTAAGAGGGGGGACATAGAGATGTTTGATAATACAACATGTAGTCATTTATGCAATATTCAGTGTAGTTCCCCGCAGTTTCGGGGTAAGGGTGGGGGGGCGGCCGCGGGGTGGATCGCGGGTGGATCGCGGGAGGGTCGCGGGGCGGCTCGCGGGTGGGTCGCGGGCGGTTCGCGGGCAAGTCGCGGGTGGATCGCAAGTGGGTCGCAAGTGGGTCGCAGGTGGTTCGCAGGTGGGTCGCGGGTGGGTCGCGGGTGCTTTGGGGGCCCTCCAGGGCCGCTCGCGGCGCTTGGCGGGACGTATTTGGGCCATCTTTGGCTGGGTTGGTCCCATGCTGGGCCGTCAATGATGGGCCTGTAGATTTGAGGGGGGGAGGTGGAGGAGGAGGAGGAGAAATAAGTGGAGGAGGAGGAGGAGGAGGAGGAGGAGGAGGAGGAGGAGGAGGAGAGCCCCCGCCCCCTCCTTCTTATGATGGTGGTGGTGGTGGAAAACAAGCCCACCAGTCAAGGGGCCATTTTGAGCGGTCCTGAGCCCGTTGCGGGGTCCTCTTGGGCTGTCTTGGTCGTCTCTTTTGGGCCGACCTGGGGTCCCCCGGAGCCGTCGTACGGCCTCTTGGAGGCCTCTATGCCTGTCTCGGGCCGCTGGTCACCACCCACCAAGCCACCTTACCCCAACCCGAGGGCCTCAATTTGCGCTTCATTTCAACCGAGGGGGGGGGGATCGGGGAACATTGAACAAACACATGAAACCCGTACCCCCCCGTCCCGAAATTCGGATCAAGTTCGGGTCTTCGGGTTGGGTTGGGGTAGTCTGGTAGGTCGTCAGCTGGTCTGCGCATCTGAAGCAGTTTGCCGAACATGACAGCTTCCCGGAGGGAATGGGACAATGTTGGCTTGCTGGGCGGTCTTGGAGACGTCACAGGGCGACTAGGTGACATCTCGGATCGTTTAGGAATCCGTGGGAACCACCGGGGCTGCCAGCACAGTTCGCCAAGACTCAGGAGGGGAAACAAGTACACAGACACAATTCATCTTCGATACCCAGGATAATATGGGAAAACATGGGAAGTGGGGGGGAAGATAAAAAACAAGAAAACATAGGAAAATATGGGGAGTCCTGTTCTTTGTGTGTGTGTATTTGTTTGTGTGTCCCAGGGCCCCTTCAAAGACCCCTCCCCCACTCCCAGCCAGCCGGACGGAGCCCCCTGGTCGGCTGTTGCCAGAAGTGCCCCTGGCCCAAGGTGCCCCCAGGAATCCCAAGGAGGCTCGCACGGCCTCCGGAGTACCCCATCACGAGGTCCAGAGAGCCCCGGGTGCTGTGACATTCCGCGAAAAGCCGGGGGCACCTGGGGCCAAGGGCACCTCTTGCACCCCTCGACCTGGGGAGAGGAGGGGCGGCAGTCCCACTCGCCGTAGAGTCTACATGGGTCGGCGCATTTGCGAAGAGCCAAAGCGGCACAGGCATGAGCTCGAAGCGCCGCATAGGCGGCGTGGGAGGCGTCGCCAGCGCAGATCCAAGAGATCCGTGCGAAGATCGGACAAGTTCTGCCTGTCAGTTTGTTGTTCCTCTGGATCGCTAGCCCCCTTCCGTTAATCTGTTGATCCCCCATCGCTCGTGCTCCCCCGAAAGGAAGAGAGCACCCCCCTCGACGTACAGATCGAGAAGGGGATGCGGAACGGCGAGACCGTGAAGTTCTTTCGCCGGCCTCCTCCCTCTCTTCCTCCTTCTCGGGGGGCCATTTGATTCGAGAGGATGACCGAATTAAAACGTCTCGTTTCCCGATCACCCGACGCTTGCTTCTGAATTTGTCCTTCACGTTTCGCCATACTTTTATATCCGCTGCTTGGGTGTCAAGCACAGACCGTCAGTCGATTGCGCGTTCATTCGCGCCCGAGCTGCTCGCGTGAGGCCGGCGTAAGCGCTTGTTCTCTTCCGCATCATTGCGCCTCGCTGCTCGCCCCCCGCGCGAGCCTCCGCGTGAGCTGGCTGCGCCGCCGCTGCGCGAGAGACCGCCCCTTCCTGGTCGGCCGCGTCTCCTTGCGAGACCGCGAGGTTCGGCTCGGGCGGCAGGAGGGTGGATCGGGCAAGGGTTCAGTCGGGCCTGTCCCTCTACAGGAGGACTCATCAAACATAGCCACAACAGTCTGGGGGCGACTTTTCGGCTCCTTGTACCTATTTGGGGGGCATTTTGGGTTTCTTTTTTTTTTCTCGCCAAAATCCCCCTGCAGGGGGACACGCCCGGCTGAAGTGAAGGCAAGGGGGCGGCAGGGACACTGCTGCCCGTCCGCGGCCCCGCCGCCGGGCGGTGTCCCCGGCGCGCTGGCGCGTCCACTGGCGCCGGGCAGGCGCCGGGAAGGCCAGCTGCACGAGCCGGTTCGCGAGCCCCTAACAACTGGCCTGGGGGTGCGACGGGGAGAAATTGCTTATAAGGAAAAGGAATGGAGGAGGAGGAGGAGGAGGAGGAGGAGGAGGAGGAGGAGGAGGAGGAGGAGGATGCGGAGGAGGAGGAGGAGGAGGAGGAGGAGGAGGAGGAGGAGGAGGAGGAGGAGGGAGGAGGAGGAGGAGGAGAGCGTCAACGACGGAGCGGGGCGGGGCACGAGGCGGGGCGCGCGGCGGGCGCCCGACGGGGGCCGCAGGGGGCCCCGGCGGGCGCGGAGGCGGGGGCGAAGCCTTCGGCACGGGGCTGCCGCCAGGGCCGCGGGGGACCCGCAGCCCGCAGCCCGCAGGCGGGTTCGCTGCTGCCTGTTCCCTTCTCGGTGGGGGAGGTGTAGTCAGCCAAGGCTCTGGAGCGGTACAGAGACGCACGCGTGACCGCTAGAGATCTTCAGTTTGGGTCCCCCCTCCCTTCTTCCCTCGGCGGTGAGCAGGACTGTTCCCGAAATCTCCCTCCTCCTCCTGAGGCATAGTTAGTAGTAGTCGTCGCAGTCGCAGTCGGTGCCCGAATCAGCGCGAGCCTCACGAGAGCGCGTTGCGTGGGCGTGCGTGACAGGAGGACCACCTCGCGAACTGGCAAGGGCACGCTCAAGCACGTGGCTGTCCGCGGGAGCATACTTATCGAGAGTAAGAAAAGAACCCCCAACCGTCAAGCAGTGGCGAAGCGTCCTGGCTCGCCTAAAACCCTACCAAACAATATTCTAATAACCTTTTGTGCTTCCCATGCAATATTCTTAGAACATTTCTGGCGGGGACTGTTTTGTTTTAACGCATCGGGTTTATGTTCTGAGAACATTGTTTTTGCTCTTAGAACATTTTCGGGTTTTAAGAACATTTCGTGGTAGGACTATGGGTATGCCGGGACGGTCGGTCCCTGCTCAAGACCGGAAGACGGCATCAGTGACGACGCCAGCGGTGACGACGACGGACGATGGCGACGGCGACGATGAGGAAAACGACGGCCCCGACAGACGTCGGCTGACGACGACGACGACGACGACGTGTTCGGCGGCGGCGGCGGCGGCGCTGACGACTTCGTTGGACACGACGACTCGGCGCGTTGGCGCCAACCAGGCGCTTGCTGGCCGCAGGGGGCAACGCGTTCGGTGCGGTGGCGCCACGGACGCTTAATTACTCAGCGTGAAGACGGGGCTTCACGTAGGTCCTTTGTTTTTGCATTCGGGGTCAGAATTCTCGGCGGCTGGTTTCGATACATCTGCAGGACAGGACCCCCTAGCCCTGATGTCGCTGGTACTTCAAACTTCGGTCCCCCCGAAGGATCGGAGGGCCCTTTATTGCCAAACACGTGCGTCCTTTTGGGGCTCAATGTTTTTCGTCCGATCCGATCCTCTTGCAAGACCGCGAGGTTCGAGAGGATGGCGGAGCAGCGGCCCGGCATCATCCCCGGCGGCGTCGTCTTCACGCTGAAGACCGCCAAGCACAGTAAGTTCGAGCGCCGCGGCGACGACTTGCACGTGGCCATCAAGGTCGGGGGTGGACAGACCTCCTGCCTTGACACGTCGATTAGTGAATTGTCCGTTTTCGATTCTCGAGAGGGCGCCGCGGCCGTTATTTTCCAGGCTTGCGCCCGCCAGGTTTGGGCCCGAGGTCGTTTTCACTAAACCACGTTTTACTAAAGGGAGGTCTGTCCATCCCCGACAAGGTCTCGCTGCGGGAAGCCCTGCTGGGATTCCAGCAGACCATCAGGCACCTGGATGGACACACGGTGGAGGTCGGCACGGAGAGTGTGACGAGGCCGTTCCAGATGCTGAGGACCTGGGGAAAGGGAGCAGGAAGCTGTCGGAGGTCCGTGTGGATCTCCTGGATCGGCGCTCGGAACCCACTGCTTGGCACGCGGAGCGCGCCAGGGGTGGCGCAGGAGGCGCCGCCAGGGGGGTCCAGCGCCGATTCAAAAAGCCCGCGCGGACTTCCGACAGTTTCAGTGTTGATGTTTTCTTGCGGCTCCACTTGCGGGCCAGCGGTGGACCTGGTCCTCCGACGTGGCGGTTCTGCAAGTCCAGGGGTGATTCCTCAGCTTCGGCCTCGGGGGTGTTGGGGAGGCGTTTTCTGTGCCCTGGGGCATTCGGACTGTGGAGCAAACGTAGGGTCTGCCAGGATGGTTGTTTCAAAAAGGTCAAAAGGTCGAACACTTTCGGCCTCTAGAGATCGCCCCGGCCCCGGAGAGTCCCTTCTGAGCCCATTCGGAGTCTGAGACCATTCGAATTCTCCGAACCCAGTTTGGAATACGCTTGAACTGTGCAAACAAGTTCCAGACGCCATCGGACACGATGCGTAGCCTCAGGGGGCTGCACAACGAAATCTAGCAATGTCCCTTCGATTCCGCGCTCCAAACGCCGCCGCGCGAAATATAGCTCCTGCGTGGAAGTGCCATGATCTCGTTGCGTGGTATGTATATTACTTCTGAGCTAAATGTGTACACGAGCTAACATTAGCTAGCGCACAGCGCGAGCGTTGCCAGGCTCGCTCAACTGTGGCTCAATAACGGCACCGCGGGTAACATGCAATACTGCGGGGACATTTCGGGCGCATAGAAAGGCTCTGTGCTCTCACCGCGCACATCCAAAACCTCTCCAGGATGACCTGGAATCGTGCGATCTTTTAGAAGCGGAGGCCGCGCTGAAAATACAATCGCGCGCGGTGTTCTTTTCGCAGCGGTCGTTTGATCTGCATCCTTTTGAGATCCCGCAGATGCCCATCTGCGAAACGTGCCGACATTCCCCGAAGACGTGCAGAGGGGTTGTTCGCCTTTGCCGCCTGGTGCGTGCGAAACGGCTCCTACACAGGTGTGGAAGTGATGCCCCACCCGTATTCTTTGGCGCTCACTCTTAGGAACGGTTCAGCACTGCTCGATTAGCTGTTTGGGCTGATTCAGAACCACGGCGCCCGACATGCCCTCGAAGTCCTTCGGAAGGCAGAGCTGAAGACAGATCATGGATTGCCAGAGTTTAGAACAGGGTGGCATCTCGAAGGGGTATGTTTCTCTTCGATTCCTCTTTTGGGAAACCATCAGACATCCGCGCACAGTCTTCGCAAAAGCTCAGACCTCCTCGCTCTACTGCTCCGCATCCTCCCCGCTCAGCCCATGATTCGCCCCTCCTTCTCTTCTACTCTCTTTCTGTTCCAGCTCCTCATCCCCCTCTTCCCCTCCACTTTCCTTCTCCGCCCCCTCCCCGGTCCTGCATCTCTCCTCGGAGCTCCGCTCGGGTGCCACCGCGCCACCTCGCCGCCCGTCTCGGGACGGCGCTGAGGCGCCACCGCGCCACCTGTCTCGGGGCGGCCTCCGGGTCGATGGAGCGCGCTGCTCGTTCGTTCGTCCTTGGACCTCCTCCTCCTCCTCTTCCTCCTCCTCCTCCTTCTCCTCCTCCTCCTCCTCCTCCTCCTCCTTCACGTTCATCGGGCCCCCTCGAAGGATCCGGGGCGAGGGTATGCCGCAGCGGGACGACCCGGCCACCTTCGGCGACCTGTACGTGAAGGTGGAGGTGCCGGGCGGTCGTGGCCAGTCCCGTGTTCTTCCCCTCGTCGCCCTGCTTCCCGTCCATGTCTCTCGTGCCCACGTCCGCCTTCCCCTCCCGTTCCTCCTGCTCCACGTCCTTGCTGTCCTCGTCCGCTCCCGCGCTTCCTTTCTCGCTTTCCTTATATATCCCTTCCTCTTCCCTCATTCCTCCTCGTCCTCCTCGTTCCCCGCTGATAAGGATTCCCTCGTCATCCTCATCCATGCTCCTCTCGTCCTTCTACCTAAGTCTCTCCTGAGCCCAGATGCTCCTTCTTCTTTCTCCATTTCGCCTCCCCTTTCTCAAGCACCCCTCGTCCTCATTACGCTCCTCCCTCTCCTCCGCTTCCCCTTCTTCATTGGACTCGGCCTCTCCTTTTTCCAGTCCCCCTCCTCTGCCTTGTTTCCCCTCCGCCTCGTCGCTCCGCCGCCGTCCCCTCTCTTCACCCCCTCCCTCCCCTCCCTACCCCTCCTGCTCTTCTACCCTCCCCCTCTTCTCCATCCCGTGCCCTCTCTTCCCTCCCGCTCCCCGACGCGAGGGGCCCAGGGTCCTCATCTGGCGCGGGGTGCGTTCTGACCAGAGCTCCGACAAGAGTCCAGCCGTGACGACGAGGGCCCTCCAGGACGAGCAGCGACAGGGGGGATCGAGGACGCCAAGGCGAATCACCGCCGCCCCCTGTTTTTGTTGGAAGCGCTTGTGTGGCCGAACGTTTTGGTCCTGGCTCTCCCAAATTATCGATGAAGTGTTCCCCCAGCCGTTCTGGAAACCCTTCGGGGAACACGTGGGGGAGGCAGATTATTTATCATAATAATAAGGCCAACCTAATCCAAAAACAGTGTTGATACGAGTAACAATGAGAATAAGGAGGAGGAGAATAATGATAAACATAATAATAATAAGTAATAGAAGAAGAAGAAGAACAAAGAGAAGAAGAGGAGAGGGAGGAACAAGGAGGAGGCGGAGGAGGAGGAGGAGTGGAGGCTTCTCGGGAGGTTATTGGGGCAGTCTTGGGGTCTCCTGGGAGCTGCCTGGGGGCCTCTTGGAGGACTCCTCGGGCGTTTTGGGGGCATTTGGGAGTTTCTGGTGGGCCTATTTAGCCGTCGTGGGGAGCTTGTGGCACGTCTGATGCAGTCGGAAGCCGTCTTGGGGGCCTGGGCCGTCTATGTACTTTCTCAGGGCGCTCCAGGGCCGCCTTGGAGGCCATCTTGGGCGTATTGGAGGCCTCTTGGGCTGCCTTGGGACCCTCTTGGGGCCGTCTCGGGGGCCTCCTGGGGCGTTATGGAGCCAGAGCCATCTTGGAGGCCTCACGGGCGCTCTGGGGGCGATGTTGGGGGCCTCTTGGGCAGTCTTTGGCCGTCGGAAGGCCGAAAAGAAGCAAACGCCATATCTAATCTGTCAAACACCGATGGAAAATAAATGATGTTGGCCTCTACGGGTCCTCCTGGAGGACCTTGGAGGCATTTTTGAGTCGTCTGCAAGTCCTCTTGGGGGCCTGCTCTGACGTTCTGGGCCGTCTGTGAGGCTTCTTGGGCGAACTTGTGCAATATTTGACTCTCTGCGGCCGTTTTGGAGGCCATCTTGGACCAGCGTTGGCGCACTTGAGGGTCATCTTGGCCTTCTTCGGGGTTAGCTTAGAGCCATGTGGAGCATGGTCAACTTTTTTTGCAACCACCTCGAACGCAGCCTTTCGGGTGGCTGGCTGCATTGGCCGAAGTCTCAGAGTGAGGTCTAAACGAACCAAGAACCACCCGAAGTCTGGCACGCCAGGCACCCTTGTGGCAAGCCAACAGGGGGCGGCGGATCGAAGACGCCTACGGCGAACCACCGCCGCCCCCTGCCTTTTTGGAAGCGCCTATGTGGCCGAACGGTAAGGCCAGACCTGCCAAGCTATCGGACCATGTGTTCCCCGAATCGGTTTGGAAAGCCTTCGGGGAACACGTGGGCATCTTGAAGGTCATCTTGGCCGTCTGGAGGCCATTGTGACCCTTTCGGGCCTTCTTGGAGGACGTCTTGGAGGGCTGTTGGGCCGTCTTGGAGGCCATCTTGGGCCGTCTTGGGGGCCTCTTGGGGCCGTGTCTTGGGCCTCTTGGGCGATCTTTGGGGGCACTTGGGCCGTCTCGGGCCGTCGGAAGGCAGAAAACACGCAAATGCCACAATCCTTCAAAAACCCATGGGACATATACATGATTTTGGCCTTGTCGGGCCTTCCTGGCGGCCCTCTTGGAGGCCTCTTGGGCCGTCTTGGGCAATTTTAGGACCATGTTCGGCCGTCTGGGTGGGCTCCTGGTCCGCCTGACGCCGTCGGAAGCCGTTTGGGGGGCCTCTCTGAGCCGACTTGTTTCCCTCTTGAAATGCTCCAGGGCCGTCTTGGAGGCCATCTTGGGCGTCTTAAAGGCCTCCTGTGCCATCTTGGGAGCCTCTTGGGGCCGTCTTGGGGCCCTCTTGGGCCGTTCTGGGTCCATCTTCGAGGCATCTTGGGCGATCGTTCGGCGATCTTTGGGGGCTCTTGGGCCGTCTCGGGCCGTCGGAAGGCCGAAAAGAAGAAAATGCCACAATCCGTCAAACACCTTAAGACAATCAATGTTTTTGGCCTCTTCTGGCCTTCCTGGAGGCCCTCTTGGGAGCCTCTTGGGCCGTCTTGGGCCAGCTTCGAGCCAACTTCGGCCATCCTGGTGGGTCCCTGGCACGTCTGACACCCTCGGAAGCCGTCTTGGGAGCCTCTTTGGGTCGACTTGGGGCCCTCCTGGGGCGCTTCGGGGCCGTCTTGGAGGCCATCCTGGGCGTCTTGGAGGCCATCTTGGGCGTGTTGGAGGCCTCTTGGGCCGTCTTGGGGCCCTCTTGGGGCCGTCCTGGAGGCCACTTGGGCCGTCCTGGGGCCCTTTTGGGGGCCTCTTGGGCACTGGGGGCCTCTTGGGCCGTCTTGAGCTGTCGGAATGCCGAGAAGAAGCAAATGCTAACGTCCTTCAAAAACCTAAGGAAAATCAATGATTTTGGCCTCTTCGGGCCCTCCTGGAGGACCTCTTGGAGGTCTCTTGGGCCGTCTTGGAGGCCTCTGGGGCGCCTCTTGGGCCGTCTTGGACTCTCTTGGGCCGTCTTGGACCATCTTGGGCGGACTTGGAGGCCATCTTGGATCATCTGTGTCGGACTGGCAGGCCATGTTTGACCATCTTGGAGACCATCTTGAGCCGTCTTGGAGGAAAAAATAGGGAATTGAGCTCCCCGGCAATCCTCCCGGGACTCCGGCGGGACGGGCCGAAACCCATTGGGAGAGTTCTTTTGGAAAAAGAGCCAAAACCAGAACCGAAAGGATCTAGCACGCCAGGCACCCCTGCGATGAATCGACAGGGGGCGGCGGATCGAATGGCCTTCGGTCCATCCCGCCACCGTGCCTAGGTTGTTATGGGTATGAAGCCTATTGGATGTTCGTTGGGATATCGTGCGAGGCCTCTCTTGAATGCAGTTTGGAGGCCTCTTGAGGGCCTTGTTCGGACGTGTTGGGGTCTCTTTGGGGCCTCTTGGGGCCTCTTGGGGCCTCCTGGGGGCCTCTTGGGGTGGAAGGCTCGATGTTCGGTTCGTATGCCCTTTCTTGGGCCCCTTTTGGGGCAGTCTTGGGGCCCTCTTGGACTGTTGTGGGGCGCTCAGGCTGTATTGGGGCCCTCTTGGAAACCTCTTTGGCCGTTTGGGGGTGGTCTTTGGGGCCTCTTGGGCCGTCTTGGAGCGTCGGAAAGCCGCAAAGGAGAGAACTTCAAAATCCTTTGAAAACCTGGCCTCTTGGGGCCATATTGGGAGGTCTCTTGGAGGCCTCTTGGGAGGTCTCTTGGGGCATCTTGGAGACGTCTTGGGCCATCCTGGGCGTCTTGGAATTATCGTTCGGCGACCCGGGGCCCTCTTGGACCGTCTTGGAGGCCTCGTGGGCTCCTCTCGGCCCGTCTTCGGGCCCTCTCGGGCCAAGAAAAAGTTACCCCGGTAGACGCGCCCGAGCCCAGAGGGCACACGACGAGCCCAAAGAGGTCACGGACATTTGCGCCCAGGCTCCGCGTTCTCTTCGAGACTAAGGGTTTAGGCTCAGGGGGATTGGGGAAGGGGGTGTTACGAAATTTGCTGCATGCAGCTGGTTTCGGCCTCACCGAGGGGCCCCTTCCTCGATACATAGCCGCGCCGGGAGAATCAGCTACGTGAGCTGATTCTCAAACCCCCCCCTTTGCTATATCCCCCCCTTTCGCCCGACCCGAGTGGACCTGAGGACACGCGCGCTCCGTGCCCAGCGTCACGGTGGCGGCTCTTCCGCGGGAGAAGACAAGGGCGCCGCCCCAGGCGAGCTCCGCGCGACAGGGAGGGGGGCTCCAGCACCCATCTAAGACATTCTGGCTGTCGTCCGCCTGACCTCCTCCTCCTCCTCCTCCTCCTCTTCGATCTCCCTCCCTTCTCATCGCTCCCCCTCCCTCCCCTTCTGTCCTCCTCCTTCCCTGACATCCCACATCCCTCCCTCCCTCGCTAGTCATCCCTCACCCTCCCCTCGCACCTCCCCCTCCCACTCTCCCTCTCTTCTCAGCCTCCCCCTCCCACACATTCCTCCTCCGCCTCCTCTATCTCCTCCTCCTCCTCCTCCTCCTCCTCCTCCTCCTCCTCCTCCTCCTCCTCCTCCTCCTCATCCTCTTCATCCTCCTCCCCCTCCTTCTTCTCCTCCTCCTCCTCTTCTTCCTCCTCCTCCCCCTCCTTCTTCTCCTCCTCCTCCTCCTCCTCCTCCTCCTCCTTCTCCTCCTCCTCCTCCTCCTCCTCCTCCTCCTCCTCCTCCTCCTCCCCCCTTCTCCTTCGTCTTCCCCTCATCCTGCAGCGCTCTCCTCCGCGTCCTCCTCCCCCCCCACCCCGGCCTGTTCCCCCCCGGCGCGGCCGAGCGTGCTCTCGCGTCTCTCTCGGCGGGCTGCCGCCGACGAGGCGGGATTGCGGCCACCGGCTCCCCGCCCGTCAGAGAGTTGCCCGCCACCAGAGCGAGGTCTCGGAAGCTGGAACATCTACACTGCCAGTGGCGGGCGGCTTTTCAATCCCAGGACTTTTTTGAGGGTCGGGAACGACGTCGGTGTGGTGTGGTGTATACTTGTTGGTCCCGTTTTCCCCGGGAAGCAGCGAAACATGTATACAGCAGGTTCCCGTATCCACACCAGAATCCGCGTTCTTGTGCGAATTTCAGCGCAGGGTCGGAAAAAGCGTCGGTGTAGAAAGTTCGGTTCCTTAAGATCAGGTGAGGTTGCTTGTTCCCTCTCTCCTCCCCTCCCCTCCCCTTGGTATCGCTCGGACGCGTGCACTTTTTCTCTGCGGGGATTGTTGAGGAGCATCCTGGATCATGCTGCGAGAAAACCACGCACGAAACCGAACAAAAGCACAGGGAATGGACGTCCGAGCGATGGCCAGTCCCTCCCTCCCACCCCCCAGGGCTCGAGCCGAACGATGTTTCGGCGATCTCGTGGGCCGTGTTCGTTTTGACCCCGTTTCGCAGCAGGGGCAGAGCGAGGCCAGGACAGAGGTAGGCGGAAACCGGTAGGCGGAAACCAAGCGAGAACGACAAGAATTGTTTCGCTCGAGCCCTGCCACCTCCCATTGCTGCCCACAGGTGCTGCTCCCCCCGGCGCTGACCGACGACCAGCGGCAGGCGGTCGAGGGCATGTTCGGGCCGGTGCCGCCTCGTCGACGTCGTCGTCCACGTCGACATCGACGTCGACGTCGCCCTCGCCTTTGTCGTAGACGCCGATGTCGTCCTCGTTGCTTCTTGTCGTAGGCGCCGATGTCGTCGTCGCCGCCGCCGTCGTCGTCGAGGATCGGTGGTCTCGGCGCCGTCGGCCTCTCCCCCCCTCGTGGCCGGCGTCGCTGACGTCGCCGTCGTCTGCGTCAAGGATGGGTTTCCCCACACCTTCCGTTGCCCACCCCTCCGCAAGTTTCCACCCACATCTTCGGAGGTTGATAGACTTCCTACCCTGACGCGCCGATCAGCGAATTGGCCGTTTTCGGTTCGCGAGAGGGCGTCGCGGCCGTCATTCTTGCGGGTCCAGGTCCGTCCTAGGCTGTTTTCGCTCAAGGGTGGTTTACCAAAGGGAGGTTTGTCCACCGCCGACACCTCCAATCTGTACCCACTCCTACACACACCTCTACCCAAATGGGGCGGGAGCTTGTTTTGCCAGTGTCCTCCCTCTGGGAGCCATCTCCGGGCCCTGGTGGGGCCCCCTGAGAGGCTCCCGCAGCGAAACGGCCCGGAGTGACAAGCCGATCTTGCAGGGAGAAAGGCGGCCGTCGTCGAGGATCCCACGCAGGGGGGCCGCAGCGAAGGCACCGGGAGGCAGGGATCGCCCTGGGCTCGGGAGGGGCGCCGGCTTCCGGGCCGTGCCCTCGATTCTGAGGTCGCGGGGCCCAGTCGTGGCCGAGGGTCGCCGCGGCCAGAAGAGGCCCTTCCATATTCTCGGCGTCGCCCCAGCATGCGGATACTATGTGTGCGTCGCCCCCCCCTCCCCCCTGGGTTACGTCTGGCATGTCCCTCCACAGGAGGAATCTTCAAAACAGTGAACAATAATCTGGGGACGATTTAATGAATATGTTTGCAGATTTTTGGGGTACTTTGGGGGCATTTTGAATGGTTCGCCCCAAATCCGCCTCTAGGGGACAGGCCCGACCTAATACTATGTGTGCGTCGCCCCCCCCCCCCACCCCCCCCCCAGGGGCGCGCGCGGACCGAGAAATCTTCTATGGCATGTGCGCCGTGGCGGCCTCTGTCTGGCCACGACCGCTCGGGACACGGTAGACGGCAAGAGGGGTATACTGCCTGCTCGGGTCGGACGCGCGCCTCCAAGGAGCACATCTAGTATTAAGTCGGGCCTGTCCCTGCACAGGAGGAATATTCAAAACTTGTAAAAATTGGATCCAGGGGCGATGCTTGCATCATTCTTGAGCATGTGTGGCTTATTTGTTGATGTTTTAACATGTGTTGACCGAACCCTCCTGTAGGGGGACAGGCCCGATCAAACTATAGTATTAGTATGTCTGCGTCCCATATTCAGCCTTCTGCCTGGCAGCGCGATGGCTGTTGTCTTCTCAGAAGAAAGAACGCCATAAGCATAAAATTGAACTTTTGGCGCCTCCGGCGCCGCCCTTGGCGCGCTCCGCGCGCCAGGGGGGTCCAGCGCGGATCCAAGGAATCCGCGCGGAGCGCCAAAAGTTTCTGTTTATGCCGTTTGTTGAGAAGTCTGCTTCTATGTAGGTATGCCCACCCAAGACTGTTCTAGCAAAGGAGGTGGGTGGCGTGCGGGTTGACACGTGATATGCCCCAGCGAGAACTTCGTTTCGTGCGCGCGTTGCGCGTGCGGGCGGGCCGCAGCTGCGCTGGTTCCAAGGCCAACATGCGTCGCCCCTGGCTCCATTGTGTTGCTCCCGCTTGCTCCTGGTTGACCAGCTGGTTGTCTCGATGGTTGTCCCGATGGTTGTCTCGTAGTCGTCCCACTGGTTGTACCGATGGTTGTCCCGACGGTTACCCCGACGGTTATGCAGGTGGTTGTTTAGATGGATGTCCCGATGGTTGTCTCGTGATTGTCCCGATCGTTGTCCCAATGATTGTCCCGACGTTTTTTGGCCGTCGGTTGTCCCTACGCTTTTCCCTACGGTTGTCCTGATGATTGTGCCGAGAGTGGTTCCGATGGTTGTCCCGACGGTTGTCCCGACGGTTTTCCCGACGGTTGTCCCGATGGTTGTCCCGATAGTTACATATAAATAGCCACCTCTACATGAGCATTCGTGAGTTTTGTAGGTTTTGTGACTGCTTCATATATGGAGCTGATAAAATGGTAGATCCGTCGTGAGATCGGATCTACCAATTGTGCGACCGGTTTCTAGTGATGTCTACCGAGCTAGTTGGCAATTTGCTCGGAAGGCTGATAGCGCGGCTGGTAAATTGGTAGGTCCCTGTCTCCGTGGATCGGCGCGATGGACCCCCCGTCGGGGGGCTCCCGTGAGGCTCCTCAGGGGGTTCGGAGATGCCCGTCGGAGGGTCCGCCGCTGGGGCTCGAGGGGCCAAAAGTTGCACCACTGTGAGCTGTCGGGGGTCCACGCGGGCTGCTTGGATCGGCGCTGGAGACCCCTGGCGGCGCCTCAGGCGCCGCCCCCTGAGCGCAACCCGCGCCAGAGAGGGGGGTTCCTTCGGCGTCCCGAAGAATCCGCGCTGACTTTTTTTGTATTATCCCTCCTCGTTGCCCTGCTCCTCTTCCTCTCCCCTTGTTAGGGAGGAGCGCAGAGGTCTCAGCCTGGCCCTTCCCCGGGAGGAGTGATGAGGCGGGCCAGGTGATTATGACAACAACGGCGATGACAATGACGATAGCGGTGACGATGACGACGGTCACGGGCACGGTCGCGATGACGATGGCAATGACGATGATGATGTTGATGATGAGGGTGATGATGGTGATGATTGTGATGTTCATGATGTTGGTTGTGATGATGATGGTGATGATGATGTTGATGATGATCCCGATGACTATGTTGATTGTGATGTTGAAGATCATCATCATCATGTTGGTTGTGATGATGATGGTGATGATGGTGACGATGATGGTGATGTTGATGATGGTGTTGATGGTGATGATGATCATGATCATGCTTATGTCGGTGGTGTGTTTGATTGTGCTGATGGTGATGATGATGCTCATGATGAGGATCAGGAACATGATGATGATGGTGATGATGGTGATGACGATGTAGATGTTGATGAAGATGATCATGCTGAGGACGGGGAGAATGAGGATGAGGATCAGGACCAGGATCAGGATGGCATGATGATGGCGATGCTGATGAGGATGAGGATGATTTTGCTGATGATGATACGGATACTGATGACGATGATGACCTCGACAACGACAATGATGCTTGTCAGGATGATGAGGACGTTTCTGTGGTTGTTTCATGATCACGCCGACCATGATGGTGGTTGTGATGGTTGTGGTGACGACGACGATGCTCACGATGATGAGGATACTGATGATTGTGATTTTGATGGTGATAGTGGTGATGGTGATGACGAGGATCGTGATGGCAGCGGTGATGCTAGTACTGATGGTCATGATGGGATGCTGGAGCCCCAGCCCCCCGTCAGGCGCCCTCGAGGCCGGAGCTCTGAGCTCGGCGGCGTGGGGGGGCGCGCCGCACTGCGCCATCGGCACGTGCCGGGCCGCCCCAGATGAGGGCACCACCCTCCTCGGTGATCCTCAGAACGCGCGTTGGCCGAGGTCTAAGAGATCGGGGTCTGGTTTTGGGAGGGGTAAGGTTAGAGTGGAGATCGAGGTCGAGGTTACAGTCGGACCGAGGTACAAGAGATCGAGGTCGGTCTGGGAAGGGTGCTCTAATGTTCTTCGTGTTTGTTGGATGTTTTTGTTTGCATCCTGGCGGATGGCACCCTCGAATACTTCTCTGTTTGGGCTGGCGGAGGGTCTCATGTTTCTGAGGGATGTGTTTCTGGCCCAGGTCGGATTGTACCCTGTGCACGCAGCTTCTCCGATGGCATGCGGCACGTGTCAACCTTCATGAATCCCTGTAGGTCTTTCGATCCCACCTTTTCCCCCAGTTGTGAAAGCTCATTGCCTCTTCGACGCCCTTACTTGCAGACCCACCAATCGTGGAGAATAAGTAAGTCTCCGCGGCACCAGCCGCACAACGACGACCACGATTACGATTGCAATTGGGACCACGATGCGACGACAACTACGACTACGATTACGACAACAACCACGACTACGGCGCTTCGGTGCAATGTGACCAGCACGCGTTCGTGCAAGCACGCGTTCTCAGGATCATCGACCCTTGGGGGTGTTGGAAGAAGCGGTCCTGGCTCAAGGACGACGGAGGTAGTTGGGCTTGTCTGGCTTCCTCTGGCCCTCTGGCTGCCTCCAGGGACCTCGGGGCGGCCTCCCAGACGTCCAGTTTTTTTTGCGGTTTTTCCACAACGTGGGCTCCCGGAGGTTTGGACCCTGCTCCCGGGACCAGTTTCATCACCCCGGCCCACGAGGGGAGGGAGGGAAGAAGAGGAGGGAGAGAAGCAGGACGGATGGAGGAGAGAGAGGGAAGAGGAGGAGGGGTGGAGAGGAGAGGGAAGAAGAGGAGGGAGGGAAGAAGAGGAGGGAAGAAGAGGAGGGAGGGAAGAAGAGGAAGAAGAGGAGGGAAGGAAGAAGAGGGGGAGAGAGAGGGGGGGAAGCAGGATGGATGGACGGAGGAGCTCCCGGCGTGGTGGCGTGTTGCGGCTGCGGGCACTTGAGAGGGAGCTGCGGAGCCCTGCCGCCGGAGGGCCGCGTCCTCGCCCCCTCCCTGGGACCCCCCCCTCTCTGGAGGAGGAGGAGGAGGAGGAGGAGGAGGAGGAGGATGAGGAGGAGGAGGAGGAGGAGGAGGAGGAGAAGAGAAGAGGAGGAGGAGGAGGAGGAGGAAAGGAGAGAGGAGGAGGAGAGGAGGAGGGGAGGAGGAGGAGGGATAGAGAGGGGGAGGGGGGAGGGGGAGGGGGAGGGGAGGAGGAGGGCACGCTTTGGGCCAGGATCGCCTCTTCCAGCACCCTGCCCTCTTGGGTGGGGAGGCTGCCTCACCCGCCCTATATACCGTCCCTGGGGCGCACGGTCGGACCGGGAGGTGAAAACGCACGTCTCGTCTTCGGTCTTCCACCCCGTCGGGCGGGCGAAGAGAAGGGCCCTAAAGGGACCCGTCAGTGATTGCCCAATTTTCCACCACCACTACAATAGGTAGAACGGGGGAGAAGGGAGGACAGGGGGGGTTCTTTTCCTCCTCCTCCTCCTTCTCCGCCGCCTCCTCCTCCTCCCTCTCTTACCGCTGGTAGAGGTGGTGGAAGATCGGCCCATCATTCAGGGTCCTTTTGGAGCCCCCGCTGGCTCCAAAAGGGACCCTGCAGGGCCCTTTTTGGGTCCTGCTTCACCCCCCATTGATGTCACCCCCGATGACCACCCGCCCGACCCCCTCTCTGCGGGGCGGTCGCCACGGGGGATCGAGAACGGGGGGGTGGACAAGATCCGCTGCATGCAGCTGGTTTCTGGCCTGCCGCCAGGCGCCTCGGAGAAACCAGCTACTTGAGCCGGACGGGGCTAGGACGATGATAATCGGGGGCCTTGGGACGGGGGTCAGTGCAAACGGGGGTCAGCCAGAGCGCCAGATCTTCCAGGATCCTGCAGGGTCGGGGTCGCGTTGACCCGGTTTGGGTGGAGGATCCTGCAGGATCCTGCAGGGTCCTTCGCACTGATCCTGGTATGGGTGCAGGATCTTGCAGTATCTTGCAGGATTCTGCAAGGCCTGACTGACCCGGGTCTGGATTGACCCGGGTCAGCATGTCCCCGAGATAAATCCGTTCTGCACCGCTCTGAGAAGACCGCGGCGCCCGAGACATCCTCCAGAGCCACGGGATCTCAGAGACTATGTGTTTGTCGTCACCCGAATGTATCCTCGTCCTGGAGTCGTCTTGTTGAGCTGATTCGCTCGGGACGGTCGAAATTGGTGCGGAAACAAGATGTAGAAAGTCCGACAGCAGCTCTTGTTCATCATGAACAGGTTTCGCTGGTGACGAGGCCGTGGTAGTTGGCCATTTGAGACCGAAGGCCGCCTGCCCAACAACGGTCGCTGTCGGTGTATGACATCATTTGTGGTTGGACATTGAATCGTGTTTGTCCGCATCCATTTCGGGCGGCCAAGTTCACTAAACCGTATTTTGCTAACCACTTCTTTTGTTCACACCCTCCAAATTGTTGGACATCCTGGAAAGCATCCTGAGCCCATCTTATCATGACATCGTTATCGCCCTGTATTTTATCCTCGCCCGAATCGTTCCTCGTCTTGGCTTCGTTTTACTGAGCTCATTTGCTAACCTCTCCTTTGCTGACTCCCCTCTCGTCCGACCCTGCCCGCTCCTCCCTCCGCCGCTCTCGCCCCTTCGCGCGCGCGATCCTCGCCCCTCCTTGCGGGAGCCGCGTGTCGAGTAGGGGATCGACTACAGAATTGTTGTCGCTTCGCGAATCCCCACCAGCCCATCCAGAAACGATGCCCAGAGGAATTGCCTCGATCAGAGAAGTGGGCAGCACACAGAGGAAGCCATTATGAGACATCTTGGGATATCTTGAGCCATCTTGGAGGTCATTTTGGGCTCTCCCAGACGCTCTTGGAGTCATCTTAATCCGTGCCCCCCCCCAAGAGGCCTCCATGTGGCTAAAACCTGTGTAGAATCAATGATTAGGCATTCTCGCCGAGGCCTCTTGGAGCATCTTGGGTGCATCTGGGGGGGCTCTTGGGGCCTCTTGGGGGTCTCTTGGGGGCCTCCGGGGGGCCTCTTGGGGGCCTCTTGGGGCCATTTTGGGGCCATCTTGGGACCTCTTGGGGCTTCCTGGGCGCTTCTTGGGGCCATCTTGGAGGAGATCGATCAAACAAGAGGGGGGGTTCAATTAGCGCCCCCCCTCGGAAGCCCCTAAAATCGCCTCTTGGACCCCTCTTGGAACGCTCTTGGAGTGCTCTTGGGCGCTCTTGGGGCCGTCTTGGGGCTCTTTTGGGGCTCTCTTGGGGCCCTCTTGGGCCATCTTGGAACCATCTCCAGGCCTCGGATGGCCATCGGAAGCGAAAAGGCGAGAAAGCAAAAATCATTGATTTTCCTTAGGTTTTGGGACGATTTTGGCCTCTTCGGGGCCTCCTTGGGGAGCTGTTTGGCCACTTGGAGTTATCTTGGGGCCGTCTTTGGGCTTCTTGGAACCATCTTAGGAGCCATCTCGAGCGATCTTGCGCTATCTTGAGCCATCTTGGAGCTCATCTTGGGTTCTCTGAGGCGCTCTTGGAGCCGTCTTGGGCCATCTGGGACGCTCTAACTACCCGCGGCCCCCCCCGTCCAGGTCCAGGGGAGGGGGTAGGGGGAGGGGTAAACCCCTCCCCAAGGGGGAAGAGGGAGGGGTGGAAGAGGATCTGCTCTAGACCACCTACGCCCAGAGGGCTGGTGGGATTGATGTACCCCCATCTTTGTCGTGGAATCACAAAGGATACGTTTCATGCTCCGTAGATCTACAATATTTGACGCACGTTTCGTCGATCCTACGGAACAACACAAGTCTGGGGTGCATGAATTCTGTAGTCGATCCCCTACTCGAGCGTGGGCCGTGACCAGGGCAGGGTCCGGTTCGATGCAGGCCGACCCAGCTCCACATCGATGCTGGCCAGCCCGATCCCATCCCGGCATTCTGGCACTCCGCCGACGAGGAGCCGGTGCGGCCCATTGCCCACCTGCTGGCTGGTTGTGCGTTGTCTGCGCAGCCGCTCCTGTCCGACCTCGACGCCGTGTACCTTGGCATCGCTCGGACGTGTGCGTTTTTTCCTCGGCGAGGACCATCGAGGAGCATCCTTGATCATTTGGCGAAAAAACCACGCGCGAAGCCGAAAAAAACACAGGGAATGGACGTCCGAGCGATGGCGAGGGGCAGGGTCCAGTTCGATGCAGGCCGACCCAGCTCCACATCGATTCTGGCCAGCCCGATCCGATCCGGCATTCCTTGGCACTCCGACGAGGATCCGGTGCGGTCCATTGCCCACCTGCCGGTTGGTTGTGCGCTGTCCGCGCAGCCGCTCCTGTCCGACCTCGACGCCGTGTACCTTGGCATCGCTCGGACGTGTGCGTTTTTTCCTCGGCGAGGACCATCGAGGAGCATCCTTGATCATCTGGCGAAAAAAACACGCGCGAAGCCGAACAGAAACACAGGGAATGGACGTCCGAGCGATGGCCAGTGTACCGGTGTGGCTCGAGCCGACGATCAGTCCGATCCGATCCGATCTGCCGGCCTGCCTCCGACTGTGATCCTGCCGGGGCAGCGGTTTGGAATCCTCGGTCCTCCTCCGCTTTGTCCCCCTCTCGCGCTCACGCAGTCCCGGACGCCCGAGGCCGGGGGGGGGAGCGTCTCGGCACAGATCCGAGATCGTCAGCCACGTGCAGAGGGGTGGGTGGGGGGAGGGGGGGGGCTTCTTAGAAGCACCCCTGCTTCTTAGAAGGCGCGGGCCTCATCTATAGATGTAAGGCCGGCGCCTTCTAAGAAGCAGCCTGCTTCTAAGAAGCCCTCCCCCCTCCCCCCACCCCCTTGTGCGCGCCGCCAAGATCGGGCCCGT